TAAATGCTACAATTTGACTGACAAGTGAGGCTTAAGAGGACCCATATAAGAAAGAGCAGGTTTTAATGAAAAGAAAGTAAAACACCAATTCAAAATACACATTTTAATAAGCTTTTTTGTGTCTACGCCATATTTCACAATAGATATTTTTCCTACATGCTTACCCATAGGAAACACACGCACATGTGTGTGCACACGTGCCAAACAAACAAATTTAACAGTGTGGCTTATAAAAATAAAGCATAATAATTTGACTCTTCAGCACCTCTTCATTTTGCCAATGTCAAATTCTCTAATCCTTACTCCTCAAAGATGGACTATGTTGAAGGAATGAATGAAAAAGTGCAAGGTTTTCAATTGCTAATTGCCAAATGTTGATCTTTATAGTGTATTATTATTTAAAAAGTTCTTTTGTTACTTGCTGCTCTTCAGATTTAGAAATGACTTGCTTTGCTGATTCCCCAACTACAGTTCTAACCAGGACTGGCTTTACCAGGATTTTTAGAAGAAAGCTCCGTATACCGAACTGGAGCTCAAATCTAAGAGATTGTTAATTATTTCTAGTAGTATGCAGTAATCTATGCCTAGTCTTTCCTCATAATAGGGACAAAGATCAGGAACCTTTACAGAAAGCCGGCTTATGTCCCAGGCATTCTACTAGACACTTTCGTAACTTCTCCAGAGCTATGACTTACAGGCTATAAGTCAGAGAGCTGAGGTTCAAATTCAGGTCTGACTCTAGAGCCTTTTCTGCTACATTATATTAGTTACTGAATGTAATTTCAACATTTAGAAATGCTTTATTATTTTGTAGCTGTAAAATAATTTCCAAAAAAAAATTCCTCAAGATTCAAGTTAAAATATTTAAAAATAGTTTGAAGTCATTTTGTTAGCCATTCTACTACCCATTTCTCACTCTCTTTAACTCGATTTCTTTTCACTTTTAGCTACTTCACCATCCTTCACTGTACAACAGATTACTTAACCTTTCGAGTACTTTTTGACTTGCGTGAATGTATGTCGTCCTATATACACACGCCTTGGTTGACTAGAACAGAAGGAGGCCAGGGTATGTGTGAGCATGTATGATTTATTATGGGCAAAGAGTTGAAAAAAATGTTACTAACAGCCACAGGTAAGTTCCTTAAGTCATGTGTAAAGAGACACTGTTATTAAAAATTTGCTTTATTTTTCTGCTGAATCAAGGACTAGCTCCTAGTTAAGATTTTTTTATGCCTTCCAGTCATGAGAAGTTAACATCATCTTACCAATGATCAAACAATTAATCAAACTGAGTCCCAGTGGTTATATTCACATCTAGGTTGTTCGAATGATCAAGAGCTCTTATTTGTTTGCTTTAGCTTGAAGTTCTTGGTTATATCTATAAATAAANTCTACTTTCTGTCTCTGTAGATAGGCCTCTTCCGGACATTGTGTGCAAATGGAACCATATACTGTGTGGCCTTTCACTTGGCTTCATGTTTCCAAGGTTCCTCCACGTTGCAGCATGTGTCAGTGCTTCCTTTTATGGCTGAATAATATTTCACTGTGTGGCTGTTTTGTTACGAGCAAAATATTTTACCCGTTCATCTGCTGAAAGATATTTGGGTTGCTTCCCCTTTGGGCTGTTATGAATAATGAAGCTAAGCACTTTGGTGTCCAAGTTTTTATGTGACGTGTTTTCTCTTCTCTTGGATATGTACCTTGTGGAATTGCGGGGCCCATAGGGTAACTGTTTTGGTCTTGGAGGTGTTTCCAAACTGTTTTCCAGAGAGAAGCGCTATTTCTTATTCCTAACAGCAGTGCCTAAGGACTCTAATTTCTTGACATCTTCGCCAACTCTTATTTTCTTTTTTTTAATTATTATAACCATCCTAGTAGTAATTCATTGTGGCTTTAATTTTCATGAGATTTACACTTATATTTCCTTATAAGAGTTACATTGTTTTGGTTCTTACATTTAGATATTTGATTGTTTTCAGTTAATTTTTATATGAAGTACAGGTCTAAAATCATTCTTTGGCTTGTGTATATATCCAGTTGTCCCAGTACCATTTGTTGAAGACTACCCTTTCTCCACTGAATGGTCTTGGACCCCTTATCAAAAATTACTTGGCCATAAGTGTAAGGGTTTATTTTTGGACTCTCAATTCCATTCCATTGATGCATATGTCTGTGATCATGACAGTACTAAATGTCCCTGATTACTGTAGCTTTGTAGTAAGTTTTTCTAATTCCTTTTTAGGTGACCTGGTTTTATGTCTGTGGATATAAAATGAATTAATTAAAATATTTTAAATAATAAAACTTAAGAAAGACATTTTGTTGTAAATTTTTAGAACGTTGTATTTGCTAAACGGCAGTCAGTATGTATTTTCAGTAATTAGACTGGTGAATACTGTGTACCATAGATATAACCTCATTAGTGATATAAATTTTGAACCATCAGTAAAGTAAAAGATGGCATACTTGTTTTTATGTTCAGTTTGCTTAAATTTCTAATTTGCTGTCTTTTTAGGTTAATACAATCTGTTGGAATGAGACTGGAGAATATATTTTATCTGGCTCAGATGACACCAAGTTAGTAATTAGTAATCCTTACAGCAGAAAGGTAAAGTGGTTTAAAAAAATCTATAATTTAATGAGAGAAAAAAAAATCAAGAAAATAGAAATCAAGAAATTGTAAATAAATATGGAATGGGTATTTGTAATAGAATATTGTTTTTTGCTAAAGTTTGTTAAATAATTTGGAAGTTATTGCAGGCAGGTCCCCTAGTTTCCTTAGGAAAATTTTAGATTTCCTTCAGCCTTTGACTCTAGAATATTTAAGATTGCTTCATTTTATCCAAGTGGATAAAATTGCCCAAAGTGACATTAAACTATTTTTTTGGGAGGGTGGGGGGAGACAATGGGATTTCTTTTTTTTGTTTTGTTTTATGCTCACAGAATCTAATCTTGAGCCAAGCAGTTTAAGAAACTGGATTTTATGTTTATAAACAGTGGCTAGTCTCTAGTGACAGCTTCATGACATTCAATTCAGTGAGCTGAAATATCATGCTGAGTTTTAATTAGGATTGTGTTCTGATTTTTATTGGCTCTTCCTCTGGCTTCATACACAGAAGTATGCAACTATTTTTATATCAGTGAGAACATGGTGGATGGGCAGTCTTATTTAGCATTTGCCATCGCACAGAACAAATTGTTCATGTATTTCTTATTTTTCTACAAACAGTGAAGATGTTTAAATAAATGTTTGTGATCCTTAAGCCTATGAAGAGGATCATATCAAAGCTGTCCTTTATTAAAAGACAGGTCATAATTGATTTCAGAGACAGCTTTACTTAAGTATCCTGACTTAGCAGAGGGAAACTTGAGGTTTTCAAATTTTGCTTCTCTTAGCTGTATAATTATTAGAGCAACCCATTTCTTCCAGTGGAGAAATTTCCTGGAATAATGTATGTATGGGTTGCTTTTTGATAATCGCTATCAGAATTTTAATGCTTATAATATACAAAGCAGTCATTTAGGTACCAATGGAATTTTTTTTAAAAGATGCAGAGCTTTACTTTTTTTTAAAAAAATTGTGGTAAAATACACATATCATAAAATTAACCATCTTAACCATTTTTTTAGGAGTTCAGTTCAATGACATTGTATACATTCAGCTTATTATGCAACCATCACCTCCATCTAGCTAGCTACAGAAATCTTCATCTTGCAAAACTAAAGCTTGGTGCCCATTAAACAGTAACTCATTCTCCTCTTTCGGCAGCCTCTGACTACCAGCATTCTACTTTCTGTCTCTATGAATTTGACTACTGTAGGGACTGCATCTCGTTCTAGGTACAACAACGGGTGCTGTTGGCCATGCATTTGATGTTAATGAACTTCATATAAGTTTATACAGTATTCGTTCTGTTATGACTGGCAAATTTCACTTAGCATAATATCCTCAAGGTTCGTCCTTGTTGTAGCATGTGTCGGGATATGCATCCTTATTAAAGCTGAGTAATTCTCTATTGTGTGTATATCCATTCATTTATCAGTGGACACTTGGGTTGTTCTTTTTGGCTATTGTGAATAATGTTGCTGTGAACATAGGTGTATAATTATCTCTCCAAATCCCTGCTTTCATTTCTTTTGTGGAAATGCCCAATGGCATAATTTTACAAGATCCTGATTCTTTTATTTGCTTGTTTTTGTTTTTTTAAAAAATGACATTTGCTTTCATGCATGTTTCCCAATAGATTATGTATATTTAAAAAGTGGTTACTCTTCCTCATTTCCAGTTTAAGAAATGTTTAATCTGGCAATACTTTAAAAAATTTTAAGTATAACAATACTGTATCTTTTTCACATAGTGGCTTTAATAGTTCCAAATTTGGTATCATATAGGAATATTTTTATTTTAAAACACTGATGATTCGTTACTCAGGAAAATAGTTTTTTGATCTTGAGTCAAATTTGTTCTTATAGTTTTACTCTTTTTAGATCCTGAGAGTTCATAATAAGATTAATTTATTGCAAATAAAAGTTTCAAAACACTTATTACATATAGATTTAAGAGGTTAGAGGTGTTTCTTATTGTGATATCATATCTTAAATATATCATAGATCTCAAAAATATAAACAAGAGAAGTTTTATTTTCCAAAAATTATAGGCTAGTTTATTTGAACCAGTTCTCCCACTGAAAACAACTGAAAGATGCTTGATTAAATACTTTTTCAATTGTCCTAAAAGTAACAAATCACTGCCTTGATAGTGAGGAATTATCATTCCAATATGATACTCAATATTCTTCACATCTTAGAGGGGAAAAAAGAAAATTTCTGTGATTCTGATTTCTTTATTTTTTTCTAATTATAGTAGTTTGGAATCAAATGATAATTTTACATTGAGATGAGAATGTTAATGAGAATTTATTCCTGGCTATGGTTGTATTCAATATGAATGTTTCTTTCTAGGAAATGAATTACCAAGAACTACCTTCTCTGTGTGTTTTAGGTTTTGACAACAATTCGTTCAGGGCACCGAGCAAATATATTTAGTGCAAAGTTCTTACCGTGCACAAATGATAAGCAGATTGTATCCTGCTCTGGAGATGGAGTTATATTTTATACCAATATTGAGCAAGATGCAGAAACCAACAGACAATGCCAATTTACGTGCCATTACGGAACTACCTATGAGGTACAGTCATATTATGGTTGTGAATATGATATATGTGTGTATGTGTGTGTGTGTTTGTATAAGTGTGTATGTGTAGGTGTATGTACGTGCATATGTATAGATTTGTGTATGTCTATATATACACAATGCATGTGTACAGAAAGAAATTGTTGACAGAATATCTAGAGTTCAGTGAAGTATTTAAGAAAATGGATCATGATAAGCTTATGAATAAAGTGAAGAAATAAGATGTGAGTTGTAGAAATAGGGTTTGTAATTGCTTGAGCAACCGTCCTCTAAGGCCTAAGCAAACAGATGTCAGCTTTCAAAGATGCCCCTGTTCTTGTGCTTTAGGGCTCTCTATGGGCTTCACCCCTTCGATACTTCATGCTGTCTTGCATAAAGTCATGGCCGCGCTCTTGGTCTCTTATGTTTTCTTTATGCTGGTACCATGGTGTTTTAAATACAGTAGTGTTGTAATACGCTTAGAAATCAGCAAGCCTCACCTTCTGCTTTGTTTTAGCTGTTTTGTGTTCTTCGATATTTGTGTCCTTCCCATATGAATTTTAAGATTTTTTCTGAGTCTGTAAAAAAGACCATTGATAGAAATTGCATGAAATCTAGATCGCCTTGGGTAACAATATTAAGTCTTCTAATTCATGAATACAGGATGTCCTTTCATTTGTGTCTTCCTTAATTTCTTAGAGTAATCTTTTGTATTTTTAAGTGTACAAGTCTTTTCACCTCCTTAAATAAATTTATTCCTAAGCATTTTATTCTTTTTGATACTACTGTAATGAGGTTGTTTTTTTAATTTCCTTTTCAGATTGCTTATTGATTTTTGTGTTGATTTTGTAACCTGCAACATTACTGTATACATTTATTAATTCTAATGGGTTTTTGTGTGTGTAATCTTGAGAGTATTCTACATATAAGATGTCATCTTCAATCAGATAATTTTACTTCTTCCTTTCCGATTTTGATACCTTTTATTTTTTGTTGCCTGATTGTTCTAGCTAGAACTTCTAATACTATATTGAATAGGAGTGATGCGAATGGGCATCCTTACCTTGTTCCTGATCTTAGAGGGAAAGGTTTCAGTTTTTCACTGTTGACTGTGATGTTAGCTATGAGCTTCTCATACATGGCTTTTTGAGAGGTCATTTTGAATGCTTACGTCAATCCAGCATCTTACAGTTTTCTTAAACATCAGAGAAGAAAATTTTATAATATGTTTATAATACAAGTATAAAGTCACATCCAGGAAACATAAAAATTAGCCTTTGAATAGTTGGAACAAGTTTCCTAGGGGAGAGTTTTTCTTACCAAAATTGTTAGAAGTTTGTAATTTTAAAGAACTTTATATCTACAGGTACATTAATTTCAAACTTCAAAGTAACGCATCATATTAATTCGACAGTTACTTCTTGCATATTTCTATATGTATTGTACTGTTTTGAATCATGGTATGGGTAAGTCATAAATAATTAAAAGAAATGGTTTAGTTGCTTTTGCCTTAGTCATTTTAGGAAACAGTAGCAATGTTTTTCAAAACCATCTGTTTAAATGTTCAATAACATTAGCTGGACTTTTGTTTTCACCTTCAGATCATGACTGTACCCAATGACCCATATACTTTTCTCTCTTGTGGTGAAGATGGAACTGTTAGGTGGTTTGATACGCGCATCAAAACTAGCTGCACAAAAGAAGATTGCAAAGATGTAAGAATCAATTTGTGTACAAATGTTGCAAAATTTTTAAGATTATAAAATTGAACAGTAAGTTATCTCTGGTTTGTGATATTATGGGTAAATTTTAAAAATTTTGTTTCCCTAAAGTCTTCAATAAGCATATTTTTATAATAAAATTAAAATGTTAATAGTGAAGTTAGGAAACTTATATTTTAATTGTACATTTCAAATATATTTATGGAAATGTGTATAATTCTGTATATGCTTTAGCATTATAAAAACTTGAAACATTTATCAATATATCCAATGTAGTCATGGAGATAATTTGGACTTACCAATAGCAGTGATGAAAGTGTGTAGTAGTTTAGTGTCTTTTTGTTTTTACCCTGACCTTTAAACCAAGAATTATATATCTTTTTTAAAAATAATAAGATACCATTCTATCAATATGTTCATTCAGATTTAGCTCACTTGTGTAAGGATGTTGGTTCACTATCAATTTTGTGTTTTAAACTTGAAAAAGGCCTGAGAAATCATATAATGACCCTAGACAACTAAGCCCAAATATTATTTAGAGACAGAGCTTTTTTCTCAGATCATTTGAAGTACTAAATGAAGAAAGTACTGCTAAATATATTTTCACTGAAAGTTACCCACACACCCCAAAGAAGAATTACTGGTAATCAGGTTAAGTTACTATTAACATTCTTGGGTGGAGGGAGATTGTTTTCTATATTGAAACAGAAAAGAAAAAGAAAAAAAATAGAAAATTAAAAATTCTAATGCACAATTTTGAGTCAGTTTTTATGTTATATATACAGAGGGTGCCAAATAATGTATACGCATTTTAAGAAAGGAAAGCTGTATTAAAATTTAATACTCAATATATACCGATAACAAAAGATGAATACAAGTCACGTTTGACTTCTGCAATTACAAGAGGTGCTCAAAGTGGTTACTATCAGTGTCCAGACACTTCTGATTACAGCGAACTATTGTTCGATCAATGTTGACCAAAGTGTCCTCTTGTATACATTTTTTTTAGCACCCCGGTATATTACACACACACACACACACACACCCCCCCCAAGAAAACATTGAACTAAAAGACAGAAATAAGTCTAAAATATCAGGTTGTTTATTAGGGGCATTTGGTATACCTGTTTCTTAATAAGTGGTAGGTACTAAAATTTGTTATGCCAAATTCTTTTAATTTGTATTTATGTAGTAGGATTTAATTGTGCTTTTATAACCAAAACCCTGTAAAAATAAAGATGAAAGCAAGGCTAGTAAATGAAAATATTGTTGTAATTTTAAAAACATGGCTGTACTGGGAAGAGGGAGGACCTTGAGTCATAGACAAAATGGTATAAAATGAACAGAATACCTAAAGTACGTGTATTTGGAGTGACAGCTGTTACATTTTCTAATGCGTATATAGCATTAGATAAGTAGTGACATTATATTAAAACCTGTCTTTTACAGAGTTTGTATATGTGTGTACTTTGTTTTTGAACTGGTAAGGAAAAACATTTACAAGCTAAGAAAAGAATAAAAGCTTAAAATCAGCTGATAATATTTTTGTTATATTTTAGTACCAACAATTATAATTAAAATATTATGAGTACCATATAAAATAATCATTAGTACTTATCATACTCATAGACAAAGGTCGATTATACCTCCATCTTTACTTTCCACTGGCCCCCAAATAACAGGCACTTCTAATGTAATTAGTGACATTACATAGGTAATGTATGAGCTTTTTATATTTCTAAAGATGATGTTCATTATTCACGGGTATGGAGATACTTAGGAGGCATTTCTGAGAAATAATTTAAGTTGTATTATATCGTTACTTGAAATGCAGTTAGTTTTGAAAAAGGGTTTAAACTGTGGTAATATAAATAATGAGTTTCTTGAATTATTACCAGCTTTTTGTAGCTGCTGTTGATCTAGCACAATTACTTTGAGTTTGAGTCTTATATCTGGGAGCAATTTTTACTTCTCCTCTTCAGAATGTATTTTGCATTACTCAAATCTTGGTTGTTTTTAAATTTATATTTTAATTAAATGTAGTATTTTCATATTTTGATTGGTTCATATGGAAAGCATACAATATTGTTTTAGAAGTCAGTTTTGCAGTTAATAGCAAACTGTAGAGAAAAACTAAATTTTCTTAGAGTGATAAACTGCTGAGGAGGAATATTGACTGAGTGTATTTCTTTTGCTTTCACATAAGCTGAATGTGTTAGAAACATTTACTGATAGAAATCTGAAAAATACATTAAAAAAAAATGTAGTTTTTTCCTCCTCACTGTCATATTGCCTGAATTAGGATTTCTGAGAAAGGTTATTTTCTTCTAATTGAAGGGAAAATATTTTAAATATGATATCTCTACTGTAGAGCTCTGTGTGACTGGTATTATGTTATCTTTTATAGGATATTTTAATTAACTGCCGACGTGCCGCCACTTCCGTAGCGATTTGTCCACCGATACCGTATTACCTGGCTGTGGGTTGTTCCGATAGCTCAGTGCGGATCTATGATCGGAGAATGCTGGGCACCAGGGCTACAGGTAGAAAGATATATATATAGTAAATAAAATGCAAGATTACAAGACTGGCAGTTCAAAGAGTAAATCTCGGTAACATCTGCAATTTTAAATTTCATTAGTTTGTCTTAAAATTCAGTAAGTAGGATGTATTTAAATAATATGTATGATAAAAAATAGTATTTCACCAAGTTTTTATGACCTTTTGCAGGGCGATACTTTTGCAGTTTATCACTTTAAAAAGCTGAAATGGTGCTGTACAGTCATCGCTCATTATCTGCAGGGCACTGGTTCCTGGACCCCCCCTGGGGATAGCAAAATCCCTTACAAAACGGCTTAGAACCATGCACACATTTCATGCAACAAAAATACTGTTTTCTTGTTAAATTCCCGGATTTGAAACCTGTGGATATGGAGGACCAACTGTATTGGTTTCCTAGGGCTGTCACGGCAAATTACCTCAAACTGAGTGGCTTAAAATAACAAATTTATCCTCTCAGTTCTGGAGGCCACACATCCGAAACCAAGGCGTTGCAGAGTGCTTTTGTGCTGGAGAACCTGTTGTGTGCCTCTCTCCCTGCTTCCTTCTGGTGGCCGCTGGCAGTCCTTAGCACCCGTCCTTGGCTTTTACACAGATCCTCCAGTCGCTGCTTCCTATGCACCTGCCATTCTGCCCTGTGTGTCTGTCCACACGTCCCTGTTCTGTTGAGGACACAGTCACACTGGATGAAGGCCCACCCTAATTCCAGATGACCTCTTTTTACTGATTACATCTGCGAAGACCCTGTTTCCAGAGAAGGTCACATTCTGATGTGCTGAGTGGCCATGAATTTGGGGGGACACTGTTCAGCCCGCAACACCTGGCTTTCCTAATTTGTCTTTGCCAGTTATTTTAATCGAGAGGATCATAGTAAGCGTGGTGGAGAGAAACGTTAGGACAGAGCAGTAATGTGGGCGTGTGTTCATGTGCAGCATATGCTTACGCCTGTGCAGCCAGTGAAGTGCTGGTACTGATGCTGCAGTGCTGGATGGGAGTCCGCCTTCAGCGCTGCGCCCCAGACTCCCCTCAGCCACGGGGGTGGGGGGGATCAAATCACTTCTGCAGTTCCCGATTCAAAGCCAACTTCCGTTAGCACCACCCCCCCACACACAAACACCAAATACATGTGCACATTTATATATTTATATAGATTCACATATTTTATGTTACGAAAAATAAAAGTGGACTTGGCCAGAAAGTAACACAATGTCCATCTCATTGTCAATTTATGTCCATCAGAAATGGACATAGGTTACTGAAATGGGAAGACCAGATAGGACTTTTTTTATGGACTATGATTGAGAGTCTTGTCTATTTGGATATGCACATTTAGGGGAAACAGTATTAATGTGATATGCAATTATAGGCTTAGTTATTGTTTCTCAACAGATGGGACACAGTTGATGTTCTGGGCAGGGCAAGTTCTCATTGTGCAGGACTGTCCAGCTTAGTGGGATTCCTGGGCCCCCGGGGCACAAAGTGCCCATTGTACCTCCCCCCACCCCTGACGTCGTATTGTGCTGATGACCTCCAAAGTTAATTAAAATTGGAATATATCCCCACTCTGTTATCAGAGGAAAATTTCAGGACAGTCAGAAATCTTTTAGGAACGTAAAGTAAAAAGTAAATCACTTTAAAAGGATACTGTACTATTTTATCTAGTATACTAACAAATACCAGCTTTCCTATTTATATTATGAAATTTTATTAATTGGGGGAAAATTTTTGGAGGATTATTTAGTGTGACTATAATTATAAATTATTTAATTGATTACATAACTCATATTTCCAGGGAAACATTTATATAATCTGGAATTTCAGACAACCATGAAAAATTTTTTTGAAAATAATGTTTCCTCCATAATGTATTATTGAAAAAATAGCCCCTTCTAGATATAGAACACGATAGCTTGGATTTACATTGCTACATTAAATCGTGTATCTCATAATTTAGATTAAGAGTTTTTGAAATGTTTTCCTTTAAACGCATGAATTTTAAATGACTTCCTTTTTTCTTATTTAGGGAATTATGCAGGTCGAGGAACTACTGGAATGGTTGCCCGTTTTATCCCTTCTCATCTTAATAATAAGTCCTGCAGGGTGACATCTCTGTGTTACAGTGAAGATGGTCAAGAGATTCTTGTTAGTTACTCTTCAGATTACATATATCTTTTTGATCCAAAAGATGATACAGCACGAGAACTTAGAACTCCTTCTGCCGAAGAGAGAAGAGAAGAGGTAAGCTTACTCAAAACCATATTCTTTATGCAATTCAGAAAACAGTTCAGTGACTCCTGGGTCCTGAAAGGCTTAAAAAATCAGAATTAATTTTCAAGGCATTGACAGTCTAGGAAAGAAGGGCGTGAAACATACATGAAAGAACAGGGGCGAATAAATAAGGAAGGGTAAGGCTCTAGAAAAAGTACTGTGAGATATTTTTAAAGAGAAAATATTTACTAGCAAGATGTTTCTCTAACTTGGGGGATGCACAGCAGCAGCAGGAAAGGCCAACACTTCTTCCAGTTGCAGAAAAGGCCGTCACAATGATAGAAAAGGGGACGCGCAGATCCCAGGAGACTAAATGTTTGTGTTCATGCTCAGTAGGTGTTTCACCCGTTATCATTTGCTGTTCTGTGTGGACAGCAGTCCCTCCTCTCCCCATCTGCCTCTTTCATTTGTGAGTGTGTGATACTATTCCTAGGGGTATTTCCCAGAATACGGTGAGCAAGTGAGGAAAAGGTACGTTCAAGTACACACACATCCACACGATGGAGTTATAAAAGACAAAAACCAGAATAATATATCCTTGACAGTACACAGCAGTAGCAAAATGTTTGCTCTAACCTGTTAAACTTCTGGCCCCAACTTGTTTTTCACTTTGGCTTTTTTATTTTATAATATCCTATGTTTAATCACTCTACCCTTTGGCTTTTGAAATGTATTTTGAAATTAATCATTCCTTTTCATTAATTATTAGTGACTTTCTGGTATTGGCCCAACTCCTATTCCTGAACATATTTTAAAGGTTCTAAACAACAACAATGATTTTGTAATTCCTAGGAGATGCTAATAATATTCAGTTATTGAAATTACAGGTTTAGAGGGCTATAAAATGAGAAAAGAAATCAGGACTACTTTATAAGTATATTTTGGGATTTAAAATGTGACAGTGTATTTAAGTGAATTAGGAAATGGACAAAGAAGAGCGTGATGGCTCATGGAAGCTGTGAGTCTATTGGCCTGATGGAAGACGTGAACTCTGCTCTGGCGTCTCTCACTGCTGTGTAATTTCCTCTTGAGATATGTACTTCAGTAAAATTATAGTCAAACTTTGTGACTGTTACATAACAAAAGAGTTGGAAATGCAGAAACATTTTAAGTGGGCCAACTAGCTTTTATACCATAGAATACTTAGCTGAAAGATGTTTATGTAATCAGAGTGAATGAGGCTGAGTCATGAACAGTGGTGTCGGGTTTTTTCTGAATGTGTTTTTCTCAGTATCCTTTGGTGAATTAACTAAAATAAAAATAATTCTAAAAGTTGATTAAAATTATAAAAACAAATCATGCTTATTGTAATAAACCAAACAATTCAGAGGTGTATCTAGAAGAAGAAATTAATAATCTGTCTCCCTCTTAATCCCACCATCTTTTCTTTTAGTGTGTTATGCTAAATTCTTGACAGTGGTGTTCAGACAAACTTAACTCACCAAATAGTTATCAGGTGCTTACTATACACGAAGTCCCATACTAAACTTTAGAAATCAAGGACAACTGTGGCAAGGACATGGCCTGTGACTCGGGAGTTTCCAGTTTATCAGAAGTAGAGACATAAATAAACAAACCTGTGAAACTTAAAATGATAAAATTGTACAAAAGAATTATGTTCTATATAAGTAAACCAAAGGAGAGAATAATTGATTTTGATTGGGAACATAAGAAAAGCTTGAGCAGGGTTTCAAAGTATGAATAAAAGTTTAATGTATGATTTTTTCCCTTTGTTTCCATTACATTTTCTTAATTTATGGAGACATCTTTTTATTTCTTCATCTCCTCTAATAATTTATTTCATTTTTCCCTTCTTAGTATATTCTTTTGTCATATTCAATTGTTTTTTGTTTTTTTTTACTTCTTGTTTTCATTTTTGTATTCTTTTTTCTTTTTACTGTCTTTTCTCTTTTTCCTCTAAATTTTTTGACATTTCCCACCTGTCCCACCTCTATATTGGAGCGCTTTGTCAGATACAATCTCTTTCTCTCCTGGCCCCTGCCGTTTGTCCCTAAAATATCTAGCCCAAGTCTGCAGTACCATTCACCACTCTGACTACCCTACGGCCCTGGTCCAGGGCGTCAGCATCTCTCCTAGATTATTCTGGCAGCTTCCTAACCAGTCTTTCCGCCTCACCCCCCACAGCCCTTTAGCTACACAGCAGCCCAAGTGATCCTTTAAAACTTGAGTCACATCATGCGACTCTTCTGATCAGCACTCCAAGTGGCGCCCCATTTCCCTCAGAGCCAAACTGAGGTCCTTACAGTGGCTTAGGGAACTCGTAACATCTGGTTCTGCGGCTTCCACTGCTGTCTGCTTTGTCTCCTCTGTTCCAGCTGCTGCTTCTTGCTTACTCAGGCTTCTAGCTTAGGGCTTTGGGGTTACTCTGCACGGTGTTTCTTCGGCGTCTTTCATAGTCATCCAGCACCTCACTTGCATGCTCAATAAGAAAGCAGGGAGATGGGAAGACTCTGCTAGACTTAACAGAGACTTAACAGCTGTGAGAGCTGAGCAGACGAGTTTTCTCCTCCCCGTTTAGTTACGACAACCTCCAGTGAAGCGTCTGAGACTCCGTGGAGATTGGTCAGATACTGGACCCCGAGCAAGGCCTGAGAGTGAACGAGAGCGGGACGGTAACTATCCTTTGCTCTGCTTTTCTTTTTTATTATGGCATTTAAACATTAATATTCTACCTTGTTTTCAATTTTTCTCACTACTATAAGTGATGCTGCAACAAACATCCTTGTACATCTGTCTTAGCAGACTTGTGCAAGTGTAGCTTAAGATAAATTCCTGAGAGTAGAATGGCTGGGTCACTGGATAAGTGCACTATAATTGTGGCAGTTATCAAATTACCCTCCCCAAAAGCACTACTTTACAGTCTACTGAAAGCGTAAGAATGCTCACTGTCCCATAAAACACTGGGCATTACCAAACTTCTCAATTTCCCCCTTTTTATTAGATATAATAGAATGAAAACTCTCAGTTTCCAACCTGAGAGTTTTATTATAGCACATAATTTTTTTCCCCTTCTACCAGGTTCCTTTGACAAGCATAAGAAGCTACCTTGGGAGCTTTAAGACAGCAACTTTCAAATAGAATTAGTCTTTGTGTGTTTTAATAAATGGGTCTGTAGCCAAAATCTTATTCTAATGACTTCTGAAATCTTTTGAGATCAAAAGCGTATTTCCCAATATATTATCCTTAGTGTTATTTTTTAAAAGATATATTTAAATACAAAGCTACATTACATAAAGGAAATAAAGTATAAAATAAATTCTGTTTTCACAGAAAATCCAAGAAGAAATCATTTCTATTTTTAATTATATGATCGTAGAATAGAATTGTCACAGTTTTAATTTGGTGCCATACTTAATTTGAAAATGCTCTTAAGGAAAAACTCACGGGAAGGAGAAAAAGGGAGGAGGGAAGAGACAAAACACTTTCTGGTTTAGTTAATTTCAAATATCTGGAATTTGCTTACATAAATGATGAAAACAAATTCAGCTTAAGGAAATTTTAAGTGAGAGAACAAACCTTTCTTTTAACCTGCTAAATGTACAATACATGAGCCCTTCCTAGCTGCACACTCTTGGAACTAAAGATGTGGATTGGGGTTGGGGTGCAGGTGTGGCGATATAAGAATAGCCTACAATGTAGGGGATGTAAGTCCTGTTCTTGAGGAACTCAAAATACAGATGGAGGGCCACTCATTTAAACATTTGCTATGAAATGTGGTGATAGCTCTAGTAGATTTTCATATATTCATAGAATTTATTTGTGCAATTGGATTTCCTTTAATAGCTTTCATTTTTAAGGCCCTCAAATCTAGGTTTTCACATTAATGAAAGATCCTGACTTATTACCAAGTTCACTAATCAGACCCGTGTTGTCATAGGAGAGCAAAGTCCCAATGTGTCATTGATGCAGAGAATGTCTGACATGTTATCAAGATGGTTTGAAGAAGCAAGTGAAGTTTCACAAAGCAGCAGAGGACGAGGACGGTCTCGACCCAGAGGTAATTTCTCTTATTAATTAAAGTCATCTGAAAGCTGGCAAAAACTATTTACTAAAGTCAGGTTTATTTATCTAATTTTCACCATGTTTTATACCTACAGTAATACAAGGTTCTTACTGGTGTATGAAGCAGTAGAGGGTAAAGAGTATTGGGTATAATTTGTCCCTTCGGGTTCCACTAGTTCCATCCCTTACTTTTTCTTTTTCTCAAAAGAAAATAAGAGCATATGATATTCCCCATTTAAAGTCCTTTTTGTATGCACTCTGAGAGTAGAAATGTATAAAACTGTAGATAAACAAGTTTTATATAATTGAATAGTTTTTCCTTTTGATTCCTTACATGCATTGGTTATTAATTACCATTTCTGGTGTTAGGTGGCCTGTTTTCATGTCTTTATTCACTACTTTCCAGCTTTGTGGTCTTTGGCAGGTTACTCATCTCTGTCAGAAATGAGCCATATAAAAGTTAACTCCTAAATGTTTGAAATCCCACAATAAAAAGTATCTATTGAATTTCATCCATAAATGTTTCTCGTTAACGCCTGTATATCAGTTAACTTTTAAAAAAATGCCTCGGACTGTGGATTTGCTAAAGAGTTATTGAATTTGTGCTTAAATTTAAACTAAGAAATCATGGTGATTAAAAGAAAAAAAACTTCATATTCTATGGTAGTTGTATCTTGCAAGACATGAACTTGGTTTGTACACTCCATTTTTAATAAAAGTCTAGATGTGAAGTAAAACTAGGGAAAATTTTAATGTTTACTGAGTATTAATTATTCCTTGCAGATTGCAGGAGGCCTAGCACAAAACACAGCAGACGCTCAAGCCTTTGTGAATCCTAACAGCTCATGTTAGTCTAGAGCAGCAGTTCTCAACCTGTGGGTTGCGACCCCTTTGGGGGTCGAACGACCCTTACACAGGGGTCGCCGGGTACTCGTATGTGGGCGTATCTGCATGTGGGCCTGGAGACGGATAGAGGAGAGGTGTCTGGGTTCCTAAGATCATCGAAAATATGTGTTTTCTGATGGTCTTAGGCGACCCCTGTGAAAGGTTGAGAACTGCTGGAGAGGGAAAACATCACTGCTGATTAAATGGAGTCAGGGACTCAGTCCCGTTCTGGCCTATTTGCTAATACAATTTTTATTAAATAAATATTTTACCAAGGACATGATGTTATAGAGTGGAAATATATCGATATAAATCCATTATCCTGTTATCCAGCTATTATATGAGAACCATCATCTTTACATTTAAGGGACGAGGTATTATTTATAGGCATCTCGCAAGCAGTTATTTGGCTTTGTCTAAGTGAAGCTGCCATATCGAGCGTTTTGCTTAAAAGATTGAAGATTTTAACAACAATGTGCTGTAGATGGATCTTTAGCCCTCTTGATTAGCCTATTTGGTCAATAGGACCAAACCACCAGTGGGAGCTTTTGATTTCCTGTGTGTTCTGTATTTCTGTGTGTGTGTGTGTACACGCATGTGCAAGTGCCCATAGTTTTCCTTACGTACCTGTTTAGAGCACATGGTTTGGGAAAGCATTTAGTATTTGATCTTGCACTAACATGTGCTTTTTGAAGGTGGAACGAGTCAGCCAGATGTTTCGACTCTTCCTGCCGTCCCGTCAAGCGCTGATTTGGAAGCGGGTGAAACTGCAATGGACGTAGATGCTCCAGCTGAGCAGCTTCCGCCGCCGTCGGCGTCCTCGGCGGCGTCCACGCAGGCTCACTCGGCCGCGTCCTCCGCGGAAAGCCCTCACTCTCCTTCCCTGCTGCCTTCTCCAGACAGTGAACAAAGGCCGCCTGCCGAGGCATCTGGACCGCATGCACACCATCAGTCTGGTGAGGATGTCACTCTTTAAATAGGCTGTGGGTCATCTCATGGTTTCCCATCATGAAAACCTCGTTGTGGGCTGTCTGGAAAGATTAAATCACATCAACTTGTTCCTGCTGGAGTAAATGACCCAAATGGCATGTAATATGTGCACATGCAACTTATGCACGAAATTCGAGTGTGCCTAACTTGCATGAATTTTAACAAGCAGCAGGAATCATCCACTGACATAGGACTGTTTTTTAAAAGTGTAGGTGCCAGCAGATAGTGTTTTAACATAGTTTAATACACTAGACTTAAAGATTATTTTTATAGGCCACTTTAGGCAAAATATCTCTCTAAACTTATTTGGTTGTTAGTCTATAGTAAAGTAATGGTGAAAATACAGCATTAATTATTATTGGTTCCATTGTATTTATATTTTTGATTATTTTCCTCAAATCATGAAACACTTTTAATGCATTCTATATGGTACATTTGATATAGTTTCTTGTCAACATTTACAATTTACCGAAAGAATTATTTCTCCTATATTTACATGAGAAAGAATTGTTTTAACAAATCTTTGTCTTCTTGGTACTTGATATTAGTGGAAAAAATTAACTCCTAACTTCTGTTTAAATACTATTTTCCTCAATATTATAACTCCTCCTGTTCAGCTTTGCACCGCCCCCCCAAACTATGAGTTGTACTCGTATTTATACTAGTAAGTTTCAACAGATATGTCTAGAGTTTACTTGGCATTTTAGCTGTATAATATATGTAATTATAATAATCAGTAAGATATTTATTCATATTTTTCTTTGGGTACTAAGGAAGCATTTTACTTGACATATAACCAAAAATATTAGCAACTAGAGATACAGCTGGCAGGCCTAAGCTAAAACCTATCAAAAATTCCTAGCTGCTTAGCTGCCAAGCTGTCACTTTATTCTTGCTTCTCTGGAATCTGATACCAGGTTGCCAAATATGGGCTGTTTTAAATTAAGCACTCTTTTATCAGTATATCCCATTTTTGGTAATTCATTTTTAGTTTCTGTGGGAATAGAAGCCAGAGTCAATTACGTAACTGTTAACACTTGTGTACAATTTATCTATAATAATAAGCTAATGCTGAGCTATAAAATCAGGTTTTCCATACTCTAATCAATAGCATTTCCACTTATGGGAAAATAACATATTTTGGAGGGCTTGGGAAGTAAGGACAGAGTCAGTTAAAAGTTTGCTTTTCAAAGCAGGTAAATTTAGTAAAAACAAGAATTTTTAAAGTGAAAGCATTCTTGGAAATATTCTTAAAGATTTTGATCAGTTATAAGTTATCAGGAAAATGTAGCAAGACCCCCTAGCTCATGTTCATATTCCACTGAACCTTAACTCCAGTTATTTCTTAAACACATTTCTGAGTACTTAGAGTTTTATTTTTCTTTTTTGTTATAGATATGTAACACATTTTAATACTACATTTCAAATTACTAAATGTCCATATTTAATGTAAGTATTAAATACTGCAGTCATTTGAAATAGGAAAAAAATTTTGTGATGATCGTATGGTCATTGTTTGAACATTACTTGGCACCTTTGCCTATGAATTTTTCAAAGAAAGTAAGGAAATATTTTTAACTGATAGATTATTAAAATAATTTTGATTGACTAAAACCATGGAACATTGGAGTATTTTCATGTTACTAAGATAGTATTGCTATTGAGGAAAGCAATTTAATGTTAGATGTAACATCTAAAGATTATGTCTAATTGTTTTGACAGTAGGCCTTTTCAGTATCCTAGAGCCCAACATTTTAAAAAGGACTTAATGTTTTGTTTGTTTCCCAATCTCTCATCCACTTTCAAGTCCAGAAGGTTTGTGATAGTGGGACTCGTCCATGCAGTTGGGTGGGAGTGTCATCTTAGAGCCATGATGCCTATCACTGCCTTGCACAGCGATAGAGAAAATGAAAAAGTGTGCTTCTTGCCTTGCTGTGGCTGTGGCTACCTCTTTATGTAAATGTTGACGCCTTTCCTTCATGTCCCATGCATTTCCTCGGTCGCTTTAGCTGGGGTGAAGGAAAGGGACATTGGGAATGTGAAAACTTGCCTGGCAAAACTCCATCTCTGATTGAGCCTAATGATTTGGCTTCTGTTAGTCTGCAGTTGAGTCACTGGATGGCAGTGAAGAAAGTCATGACCACAAATGCCAGCGGTGCTCACGACTGTGTTTCAGAGCAGTCCTCAGCAGTGTTGCTCAACAGCTAGACACAACGTCTATTTCACTCCTTCACGCCTCTCAAAGTGTTGCCACTCCCGTTTCCCCTCATCCCACCCCGGCCGGTAACGTTCTCTCATCACAGTGGGGGGAAAAAACACTGACTTTCCTACTTTTGAATCTGCCAACTTCCCAGCGTCTATGCTTACATTGTCTGTAGTAGAAGCGGGTACATTTTGGGAAGAAGTGTGTCTACTACTATCAGAAGCTAGCCAGTGCCCTGCCTGTCCCTTTCCCAGTTCTCAAGGGCTTTGTTCCTTCTCCTGCCTCATCATCATTGCCTTTTCTACTGAATTGTTCCTTTTAGCCTCAAATGTGCTGTTATTATCTTCTGTCTTAAACAGTCTCTCTTAATTATCTCACATTCCCCTCCAGCCTTATATCTTTGCTTTTTAATCAGAGTCTTCAAAAGAGTTTCTCACACATATTATCTCCATTTTCTTAACCATCTTCCATTTATTTATCAACCAATTCCAATCTGCCCTTCAACCCAGTTTTCCACTGAAACTTGCGATCAGAGTCACCAGTGACTTCCATTTTGCCAGATTTAAAGTATACTTCTCTGTTAGGAGCTTGCTCGATTTTTTAACCTAGTTGCATTTCACAGTCTGTCACTTCTTTCTTGAAACTCTTTCCTTTCTTGGCATTTATGACACCACTTTTGCCTATGAACTCTCACTACCAACTCTAGCTGGGTTTCAGGAACCATTGTTGATGTTTCTTGTTCTATTGAGTTCAGAATTTTTTGATGGAACCTCTTAGTCTGTGCTGTCTTCTCTGTACTTTGTCCCTGAATGATTGTATCAGTTCCCATAGCTTTTAATATCCCCTCAAAGTTGTAAGTCCCAAAGTTCATTGGCATTCTGATCTTCTTCCCTGAGTTACAGACCCCTGCATGCAATGGCTTATTTCACACTTCTTTTTGTTTCTCTTTGGCTACCTTAAGTCTAACCTGTCCAAACTCAAACTTCATTTAGCCTCCTGCCCTCCCTTTTGCCTACTGTCTTCCATCTTGGTCATTTTATATTTTAGTAAGCTATAAAACCAGTGCTGTTTGCTGATTTTAACAGTCTATGAGTGATTCCTATTCTTTACTTTCCTTCACGCCCCAGGCCCAATCCATCTGCAAGTCCTTTCGGTTCTACTTCTCTCCATCTCACCTTCGTATCTAATCCATCTCCCTGCAGTTACTCTTGCTCCCTTATCATTTATTCTCTAGGCAGCAGCCAATTTTTTTAAGTCTTTTAAAATGTTAAATCAGATTATGTAACTTTGCTGTTTAAAACCCCTCAAAGACTTCTAATTGCCTTTGGAAATACAACTATAAAAGAAAAAAAAAATCAGACTTATTCCTGAGGACCCGTACAGCCCGCGTGGCCTGGTTCTTACCGCCCCTCCAGCCTCGTGTCACTGCTGTCTCGCCCCTGATGACCATCCCGCTCTGCCTGTACCGGTTTCCTTTCAGCCTCGAGTGTGCCAAGTCCTCTTCTGCCTCTCTGATTCTGAGCCTTTGTCCTTACTGTTCTCTGTTCCTGAGAACTTCTTCCCCCTGGCTTATCATATAGCCAGCTCCTGTTCTCTGGGGTCTCAGCTCGAGTGTCACCCAAGGCAGGAAGGTCTTTTTCATAATTACCCTAGCTAGCTTCTTCTTTTCCTGCCCTCCGTAAATTCTTATCCTCTTTTATGTAGCCCTGTTTATTTCCTGAAAAGTACTTACAAATATTTGTAATTCTTTTGTTCAATTTTGATTGATTTGTTTATGAGTTATTTTCTCTTATTAGAGTATACTCTCATAAAGAAAGACAGACATTATCTATCTTGGTCTACATAAGCCTTCCCCGCCCCCCCAAATAGTCACTCTAAAGATATTGTTAAGACTATCTGTTATTTTTAAGCAAATATAAGTTAAGTAGGGTATATTTAGCTATATTTTAGTCTTTATAGTTTCAGTCCACTTTATTCTTTCTGGATGTTTCCACTAGGCTCCCCAAATGTGTTATCTAGGGGAGATGCTGCAAATGCGTATCTAGTCATTTATTATGCTTGGATCTATTGTTTGCCCTTGGCTAGCCAGACCACATAAGACTGAATATATATGTTTTCCTACTTTATTCAAAAATATTTTAAGGTAACTTACAGAAATACTTTTTAAAAATAATTTTTATAAATGATGAAATTAGGACAAACAAATTTGAGTAGGAAAGAAATAAAATAAAGCAACGAGTGAGGTTAGCGTACCAAATGAAATACCTGAAATAGAATATGTAGAAGGCCACCAAGTGCCCGTTGGGTTTTATAGCTGAGTTAGGGCGATATATACACTCAGATGGAATCTGAAATCAGTGGGTAGGATTTTTTATTCTTGTTTTTTTTACTTCTTTACCTTTTGTATTCTTGAATTTTATTTTAATTCATCTAATTAGATCTTTTGAAACTATGTTCTATATACATAACCCAGAATTTACTCAGACATTTTGATTCTTATATTATACATGGTATTTAACAAAAGATTGTGGTTATATGATTATCTAGTTAAAAACCAGAAAGGTATGACCATGAACTGAAACTATATAGGTTAAAATGAAATGACATTTTATTTATGAAAAGCATTTTAGAGTAATTATAAAATACTTCCTTCTTTTTTCAGTAATGCCTAGCAGGCATTGCTTTTAGTTGTTTCTAAATTAAGGCTGGAAATGTCTTTGTTTCACGTGTTGTTTTATAATTTTTCCCGTGGTGATGAGAGTGTTAGATGAGCCATCATTCCAGCGTGTTAGCAGCATTTCTCCTTTGGTTTCATTTTAATCTAAATCAAAGAATATGATTAAAGAAGGTGGATTTTTAGATTGAATAGGGATATCAGTATAGACAAAATTCAGTTTTGGGGGCTTCCCTTGAGAAGTGAGTTACCTAAAGGACCCCTGTTTCATTAAGATAGTATATGACATTGCCTGTGTGTGGAATCCTGCTTACTTACAAATAGTTGTGCTCAGATTTACAAATTTATTTAGGTCTGTTCAGAATCTTTATAGCTGAATTGGGCTCGGTAGAAAAATTGCTGGGGAGATAAGAACTCTGTTGTATGATAAATCACAGCAAACCTTCCAAGGCCCAAAGGTCCAGATGACAGCTTCCTTAGAGGGGATCCGGGTCCACCCAGACTAGGCACAGGCCATTTTTAGATTAGAAACAAGGGGGATACTAGGTTAGCAGCCACTTTGGGGCAGCTAGAGAAGAAACCTGGGAGTCAGTAGAGGAGCGGCCAGTTCTAGGAGAAAGAGCACACCGGGGTCGCCTGGACCGGAGGCAGATCGATAGCAGGCGGGCAGAGGACCACAGAATTCGGCATGAAAGGAGCCCAGTGCCCGGGACCGGAGACCCCGCGTGGTGGAGGGGCAGGACGTGAGGTTAGAACCAAGTTGGGTCAACTGCAGTTTGTTGTTCTCCTATCTCAGTGGGAGTTAAGTCATTAGGAGACTGGCCTGGAGTCTTCCAGAAGGAATCAAGAAAAGAGTAGTTTCAGGAGATGGATTAATTGCAAACTTTCCGTTAGCAGTTCCTGACACATCATTAAGGGTTTTGTTGTTGTTGTTGTTGTTTAATTCAACCCAAAGGTACTCATTTTATTCACTTTCCATTTTGGCTTCTGTTAACAAAACTAACTCTCCAAGCATGTATTCACTTTATAAATTATATATGATTGTATATACATTTTTTAAAGGATGTAATGTGCGTGTGTTTTACCTGCCTTTAATATCTCAAATTGCTAGCAGAAATATTTGCTTAGTCTGCTATGTGTAGTCGGAATTTTTAATTCAGTAAGTTGCCTTTCCTAGTTAGCTGTGTGTTGACTTCTTTTTCTAGTCTTATGTTTTTTTTAACCTAAGGCGGGGAGGGTAAAGCCACCATACAACCAGCCTTAAAAGCAGGCAGACAAACTCTTTACAAAGTGCTGAAGCATCGCATAAATGGTTCGTGACATTATTATAACTAAACCTTGATTTTCCAAGTGAGAGAACGTCGCTGCTTGCACTTAGAGTCTGCTGTTTATTTGCTACGTCACCTAGGTTTAGGATGGAGACTCTTAGAACCCGTACGCATTTGGCAGTGCAGGAGAGAGGCTTTGGAACAAGAATGAAATTGGGTGAATTTTTGTGTGACTTTTCTAAAGTTAGCAAAATTTGACATATATGTAATCTCTCTCTTCACGGTAATGTCTTCGGAAGTGTAAAATGACAAACTTTATGGCTGTATATTAATGCTTTGTACTGCGAAAAGCATTGCTATTATGCTGATAATAAACACGGTGTATGCATGTACCTAAAGAGAAGGCACATGTCATTGAGCGTCACAAGTTATTTCTCAATGAATGCTATCCTACTTAGTCCTGGAGAATTTTCTAGGAAAAACTAGCAATGAGACTACGATGATACTTGAATTGTTAAATCTTAACTGCCAGTTGGCTGACTGAATGAAATTCTTTATAAATAGATGACATGGTAAAAAGAGGTTAATATAATATCTCTGGCATGATCAATCCTTGAAACAGCTAACCACATTTTGCACCCTTAGAAATGTTAGTACAGGAGGCTGAAAGTGATTTGGTAGTTTGTATAATTTGCTCCCAGGGTCTCTGAGAGAAGTTGTGTGTGTGCCCACCATCAGATCGACAGAGATAGTTGTTGAGTGCCACTATGTTGAATCTCTCCCATGTTTTCTGCCACCCTCCTGGTTCTAATGAGTGAAGTTTTTGTGCCCCATCTACAACCTGTTCCTCCTCTTGTCCGCTGTAGCTCGTCTCCTTTGGTCTACTCAAGGACATCCTTCCTGCGTTTGCCCACTTCTTTCTGTGCGTCATTCTTTCTCCTCCCAATTCAACATTGTCCATCAGCAAACAAGCATATGGATTATCTCCCAAACTGAAACCAACCTCCCTGCCTCATTATCCCCCCGCCAGCAGTCATCGATTTCTCTGTTTCCCATCGGTGGCAAGACCCCGCGTGCATATGCCTAGTGGTTCTTCATTACCTCCCCTTTCTCTTGGACCTGTTTCAGTCAGCTTTGGGCCCTGTAATTTCACTAAAACAGTTCTCGTCAAGGTCATCAATGACTTCTAGGGTGCAAGGTCGAGTGCTTAGCTCTCAGGATCCTTCTCATTGTATCAGCAGCATTGGACAGCTCTTCCTCCATCCTTCTTGCCACCCTTTCGTCACTTAGCCTGCAGAAGTCCTCTCTCAGCTCTCCAGCCTCCTCCCTGGCTTCCCTGTGTCTCTCCTCCTCGAGAGTCTTCTCCTCTTAAACATCAGACTGTCCCTGAGTTCTGTCCTTAGACTTCTTCTCTAGCAGCACTTGCGCTCCGGGTGACTTAAAGAAACATCACCAGAGACATGCAGTTTTACTGGTGAATTCTGGACTGTTACCGTCAGTCTCTCCTCATCCCTCCACTTGCGTATCTGTTAGTTCTTTTCTTTCCTTTAATACTACTTGTTCCTCCTCCATTCTTCCCCGTTGCAATAGACGGCAACTCCGTTCTTCCTGTTACAGAGGCCAAACCCTTGGGATCACCCTACATCCACACCATCAGCCAAGTGTGCTGCCCTTACCTGCAGCATACATCCCGTGTCCCACACTCCCCACTCTGCGCCTTCACCCTTGCCTTCCCTCCACCTGGAACACGCTTTCCCCAGAGAGCTGTGCGGTTTGCTCCCTCGCGCCCTTGAGGTCTTTGTCCAAAATTCATCTTGTGACAGAAGCCTTCCCTAATGGCCGCCCACAACACAACCCCTTTCCCTCGACCTCTGTCCGCCTTTTCTCACCCTGTCCAATTCACTTCTTCGAAGTTATCCCTTCTTCACACATACTCGTATAGACACACATAATATATATGTCACATACATGTGTGTTCACTAATGTTGACTCTTTTCCTCTCAGAACATAAACTCCACACAGTGGGGACTATTTTGTTCACTATTTTGTCTCCAGAGCCTGACATCGTGCTTCATACATAGTAGGCACTCAATAACTATCTTTGCAGAATTTCTCTTTTCTATAGAAAAATATTGTGTTTCTACTTTTTATGTACAACCAGTGCTTCAGATGAAGTAAGAAAATATTAAACATTATGTATATATATTTGAGCATTGAAAAAGAAAAAGTAAACAGTTCTAACATAGAAAGAAATATTTTAGCTGAAAAATATGTAACTTGCACTTTTTAAAGAACTCTCCACTAATAAATTCCAGGAATTGTTTCCAAATGCATAACTTTTTCATCATTTTAATTGAATTTTTAAATTATTTGATTAAGATTAGTAATGTAATTTTTGTGTATAGATTAGATGACATAACTGACATTTTTCAGTTTTTCATTTCTTAGTATCATTTTGTTGTAAAAAGAGATGAAAGGAGTGAGGAAAGAAATGTTCATTTAAAATGTTTTGCTTATGGAGGATTTTATTTTCATTCTGTTTAATTACTTAAGTATCCTTAGAGAACTATATGTGTCTAATGCAGCAAGTTAAACAGAAGCATTTTGGTGTATAAGACTGTTTAGCTTATCTCTTAATTCGATGACCAGTAACTTCTTTTCTTATTTGTAATTTGTTTTTAGTTTTTCTGTATGAGACATGTGTTTACTTATACCCTTCTCTCTTGTATAATCAGATTCTTGCTGTTGTCTTATATAATCAAATGTATAATCAAATTCTTACTCTTTTCTATTTTATTGCTATCTTTCCCCTTTCTTTTCCCGTCTGTGTCAGAGCGTTTGAGGGGGCCTGAGATAGCTTTGCTCCGTAAGCGCCTGCAGCAGCTGAGGCTTAAGAAGGCTGAGCAGCAGAGGCAGCGAGAGCTGGCTGCACGGGCCCGACCGCAGCCGCCCACTTCTGATCAGTCTTCTCATGAGGGCCCGGCCCAGGACCCTCATGCTTCAGGTTATTAATGTCAAGTGTCCTTGAGCAGCTGGTAGAGTTGGTTTTTAGTACTGCTGCCGTGTAATACGATGCTTCCTTGCCCTTCAAAACAAGAGCTGATGTGCTTGCAGCTTCGCCCTCCCTTTCATGCGTAGGGTGGGGTCCTCACCCCTGGCTAGAGGGACCCATTGGCAGCAGCGTTTGCAAGAGAGGAATATAAAATAATCCATTGTTTTATTTATCATATATTTGGAGAGGGGCCAATATTGATGACTTTTATAGCCAATAGACTACTTTCTAATAATTGAAATTTCCTGTATGCTTAAACGATATATCTATGCATATAGCTCCTAGCTCCTTCTGTTCTCTTTTCTTTTTGTATTTTTGTTTGTTTGTTTTGCTTTAAAAGTTAACCAGTATTCCTATTCCCATATAAACCTAGTAATGCCAGATTTTAGAATTATAATATTGTTTGGCCATACTAGCAAATTGACTCAATCGTCCCCTTCTGTAATTATTTGAAAAATTTCAATATTTGCTTACTTATTCCTTCTACACATAGCCAACTTTCTGATGTATGTATGGGGAAGCAAAAATGCTCCACGGTCTGATGTTCCGATTCTTATGCTATAAAACTCTGATAACAGTAATTATCAGTGCCACTCTGTTTTTCATTGAGTATTTTATTGGCCCATTTCTTTCATGACCAGAAAGCTCATGATGCTCAATAAGCATTTGATGAAAGAATTAGTGAAAAGTATAGCATAAAATAATTTGTCAACTTAATTGTTTCTAGATGGATAATACGTACTGTATATCCTATATTATAGGTACTATGTTAGGTGCTATAAATCTCTATTTAGGATCTAGAGTATGTCTGGGTTCTCATACTAATGGGATTATAATACTTTGATATACGTTGTTTTGCTACCCACACGAGTTATGAGTTTGGGCGTTAATTACTTTGAGAACTCTGATTTAATTACTTGGAATTATTATAATTTGTATATTGGTAGAACTGGACAACCTCCACTTTATAAACATCTGTTCCACTAAGTGCTATGATAACAAAAGCACATTATATAATACTGTGGTGAAATAAAATAGATTTAAATAAGTATAATATAGATGTAATGTTTGGAACAAATTCTGGACCTGACTTTTAATTCAGTGTTATATTAATAGAGGGAATGTCAGTCAAGCAACAATGTCTCTGTTTTTTTTTTTTTTACTATAGAGAAATCTTTTCTATACTTAAAACTAATAACAAAATTTGATTAGATTACAATCCTGCCATTTAATAAGACATCTTGCTATGATTTTGTGCTATATCTAAAACTTCTGCTGAATTGCTTCAGAAGTAAAAAATATGCAACATAAAAACCAGTAAGAAGGAAAATAAAATGTCCCTTGCATATATAAATGTTTTTAAAATACTGAAATTTAAGTGAATTTGAGTGTAAAACAAAGCTGCATGCATTCACAAGACAGCAATGTATATTGTGGGCATTAGAGAAATATTCTGAGACTCAGTCTTCCATATCTAGTTCACCAATTTGAATTGAAGCAAGTTCTTTTTAGAATCAGAAAACTTTAGGGTGGTTATGTAGTCTCTGAAATAAGATGCAATTATTCCAACTCTGTATCATTTTTAGTAAATAGTATCTCATTTGGTAAATGGTCTATTTGTGGTAATCTTTAAAAAGTTGAGTAGGCAGCTTGCCAGTTTTGAAGTTGAGAAACACGTTATCTCTTCTTTGTTATTAACCAACTTACTTGGGCCCCTGTGGCTGCCCACATGGGCCAACATTAGAGGCCCTCAGTGCTCTGGTGTGTCGCTGCCTTCACTTCATCTACAGCATATGCTTTCGACGTAGCACTCATATGAGTCCCTGATAAGTCTGCTCTGCAACAGGCCCCCGTTGTTAGACAGTGCAGCTTTTGTCTCGTCTGTCCTCGCATGTCACAGGAACACTTTAAGAACTGTTAAATAATATCTAGTCAGTTTGTTACAAAGGACAACTAGTAAAATCTATATATTTTGTCCATCTGGATATGAGGAAAAAGGAGTTGGCTTAATACAAAATTCTTTATTTCTGAACACACAAATTATAGAAATAAAGAATATGAATTACATTTATGAAATTCAACAGGGAGGTAGGTTTTATTTGAATAACGATTACTAAAACATTTCCCTATATTTAGTGATTGAATACAATTTTGTGTATGTGTATTATGGACGTTAATTAATCCGTCTCTCATGCCAGGTTACTGCTAAAATCATCTATCGGTATCGAAAGCACCAAAATTAACATTCTAGATTTTAACTTATTAACAATAGAAGAGTGTGCAATTCTCATGTAAAAAATACTTTCTCATTATACCTTGACATCTTTGTAACATCAGTAAATGATAACTGTCAGTAAACGATATTTCTATTGTCTTCTCACCTGGTTAGGTCTTTTACTATAAGATATTCAAAGGAGACAGTAATGTGACTGGGAAACCAAGCAATTTTAACAAGTACAGAATTTCTGAATTATTACATTGTCTAGGAAACACTTGATCTCTTTCTAAAATATAGGACTCATGAGGATCTTTTGTGAAAGGCTCAGTGTAAGATGAATCTATAATACCCGATTTCTGTAGGAGAGTGGGATCAAATCATTTTGTAGAAATAATCTATATTTTAATGGGCTGGGACCTGATGCTAGTTAATGATAGCCCCAGATAGAATATATCTATTTAATTGTCAATGTTCCTGGGCAATTGAAAACTAAATAACACATCATTTCTAATCACCAAGTGATATCATCTTGTTTCAAATGAGCTATATAAGATAGATGTTAAAGATATTTCAACAGTGGTTTCAGCTGTGAACTCTTATCAGAGTCTCATGTGGAAGTTCTAACATAAAATATACAAAAGTGACTCTTGTGATTTAAGCATAAAAGGAATAAATGATAAGGCACGCGACCCACCTGCTTGCCTCTCTTGTCACCCCCAAGGCACCTCTGCTTCCTGAAGTGCAGTTTGGAAAACTGCTCTAAAAGAATTTTGATACCTATACACATGATCATTCTTCATAGCTAATTTCCAAATTTTTCCTTTATCAAAGTCACAGAATATTACGTTAAAATATTTTTACTTGATTTAGTTTTTAAAACAGCTTTCCCCCCTCCCCCAGGCTTTTAGGAAATACAGCATAACTCATTTCTAGCCTTTAAGTGATTTTCTTTTTTTAATTATAAAGAGATGGATGTGCCATCAGGTCTTGTCCCTAGCCCTATGACTAGGTGACCTTGGGCAGGTCATTTGGCTGCTTTATGCCTCAGTTTCCCAATTATTTATGTATTTAGGTAGTGTGGCCGGCCATAATTTACAGAGATGGCATAAGGATAGGGTAGATAATACTGTATAAAAAAAGGTTTTATACTCCTATGTAGAGCAATACACAGAATGATGTACTATCCTAATTCTAGTACCTTTCACTTACTACCTTAGAATGTGCTCCTGTCAGAGCCACGGAAGGCTGATAGCATGCAGAGTTTGCGTTGTATATTTCTCGGATGGAGGCTGCAAACAGCTGTGGCAGAGGCAGCCAGCACATGGCTGATTTTAAACCCAGCTCTTTTTTTCCGTTTCAGGTCCCCTGAAGTCATGGGTTGCTGGCTCCTGCTCAGAGTGACAACAGCCTGTGGAGCCTGCTGGTACTGGCCCGACCACACAGAGCCCCACTGGAGCAGGGAGCCAGCCTAGAGAGGGCCAGGTAGGAACTGTTTTTTCACTTTATGGCACGGTTTTGCCAATTGGAAAAAGTAATTTTTATACCCCAAAAGGGTATAGAACATTGGTGATTATTTTTGAAAAAGGGCTTTTCAAAACTGAGCCATATTGGAAAAAATCAGCACTTACCCAGTCCTGCGGGGAAGAGCAGGCCCTAGATACGGCACCGATTCCCCGGTGTCCGTGTTGACAGCCGTGTACGCTTCTCCAGTGGGTGCGTTTCACCCACGTTTTTGTGTTTCTAACATGAGCTGTTAGTAAATCCCATACGATGTTGCCAGTCCTGCGAGCACACCTTCCCTGCCTTAACTGACTAGTCAGGAGCCAGGCACTGGTGATGCTCGTGGAACTTTAAAGGTGGGAATATGCTCTCTATTTTCCAAAACGGCTTCCTATTATGATTTTTCATTCCGTACCATGTTTCTGAAAAGCAGGCATGTGAGAATATCATTAATTGACCCTTTCCTATGTGCTAGGTAGCACATAAGTAGTTTACATGAATTATCTCATTAAATCTTCATAAGAACAGTGTGTGGTCGATATCAGGAGTATCTCCATTTTATAGATGGAAAACTGAGACTTAGAGAAGTTAAATGACTTGCCCAGGGTGACAGTATTACTGAGGAGAAAAGCCAGGTTTGAACCCGGGGAGCCTGGCTGAAGAGTCCTTGTTATTTACCTGTTTAACTATAATTCATTATTTTCTTTCTACAGTTGAGAAAATTCTTATGTCAAAGGGCTAAAGAACTTTCTCAAGACCAAAACATACAGTCATTGACATGAGACACCCTGAGCTAGTACTGAATAAGCTTTTGCTTCAAGTTTATCTCAACCTTAAAAATAATAATATAATTCTAAACACTTCCAGTAAGCTGAGAAACCATATTGTACTTTGTAATAAATTATCCTTGAGGACCATATGGTCAGATTTTTATTTTGTCATGGTGCTTTCTAGAGGTATTTCATGGAGAGATGGAGTAGAGTGTGCAAACTGAAGCTATCAGCACTAATAATTGTATTTTTTCATATATTAGCTATTCTTATGGTTATTGAGTTAGTATTTGGAAATATTTCTGTAAGTTAGAAGTTATCGGTATGGTATTTATGAATATCTAGTGGTATAAAAACATGTCACTTCAAATGTTTGTATGGCAGGAAAATAATTGTTCTAAAGACAGTTTTATGGCACCCAAGATTAGAAATAGAATGGAAGCAATGATCAAGAAGGATTTCTTATTAAAGGTTGGTCTTCAAGATGAGAGGAGCAACAAATAATTCCATAAATATGCACAATATCTGTGACAGACTCTAAGACCAAAAAGGAAATCCTTTTAGTTTAACACTTTCTGTCTTCACATAAACTTTGATCATATTTTAAATCCTTTAAAAGTTTGAAAATACCCAATTTTGTAGAGATGATAGCATTTTAGATTCTTTATTGGGATTTTTTTTAGAAACTTACTTCTTCCTAAATTTTATTTTAAAAATTAAACAAGATGCACTTTATATCATAAGATTTGTACATTCTATAAATATATGGAAAAATTAAATATTTGAAAAAAGATTGCTTGGAGAGTTGCTAGAGCTCTTCGTTATTAAATGAGAGCGTAATCAAATGTATAATAAATCCGAAGGGATGTAAAATATTTCAAAAGAGACTTTCTAGGGGGATTTCACAATATTTATTTCACTGTGACTCACATTATTTTTTCTTTACTTTAAAGAATATAATTTTGTTTTTCTCTAAAGACCAACTTATCTGTTCTCCCGAAACAACATGGGTAGGAAGGTTGTATCTAATTCTGAAATGGATAAATGAGAGGTCTTATGAGGAAAAGGAAAGCATAAATAGTTAGGGAGCTGACTGAAATACTGCCACCCCTACTTTCTCTTTTGTATGGTACAGATTTGTTGAACTGAATGTTTTGATGAAGAGGTGAGAAGTAGGGAAAAGTAAAGCTGTTTTTCAAATGATGATCATACTTTATCAAGATCTAGTAATACAAAAATCTATGGACAAACCAGTTATATCAGAAAGTAGACAATTTAAAGTGATACAGGTGGTCCCAGTGGTAGGATTCAGATTTTTAAACGTACAAATGGAAGCAGTCAAGTGATACAAAATTGCTGAGAATCAGGATATATTGGAGAACTTGTAGCTATTGACGTAAGGATACTCTTAACTCAAAATATGTACCTTTGGGGGAATAAAATGCCATTATGAATGGAGAGTGATGATCAGTCAAAATGGTAAGTTTTTGTTTTATTAACAACACTTGCTAAGAACTAGAGCTCAGGATAGTAGTAGCAGCTAGAAATTGTTCTTACATTTGGGGGAGAGCTATGCTACTGATCCCCATTTTCCCTTTCTCTGCAGCCCCAGTGGGACACTGGGACCCACCCGAGCCAGGAATAGCAGCCACCTCCTTCTTCTGTTCCCCAGTGCTTTGCTTAGGTTATGAGGTCCCTAGGATGACCAAGAAGAAAGGAGAAGCTTAGGCGTAAAAATGTTGTGACTTGTTCTGTGGCACATAGCTAATTAATGCCAGAACCAGGGATAGAATTTAAAAAACGACTAGCTCCAGACCAGTGCTCTTTCGATTTCATCATGCTGCCTTCCCTTTATACCAGTGTTTTGCGAACAATAGAACCCATTTATAAAAACAAGTTCTAATACTATCAAAAGGCTAAAAATAAAATGTTCTATTTGAAGCCAAGGTGGAAAGCGTGATGCCCAGACCATTAAGCCTTCTCCTTGCCTCTCTTTTTTTCCCACCAAGTCACCTAAAAAACCAGACTTCACAGAGCACAGATTTAATATGCACAACATAGCAGCTTTAAAGTGATCTATGCTTCTGTAATGGAAATGACTCCACTGAGTATTTCTTTTAGAAACCGTTTTCTTTGTCTGTCATCTTCATTCGCGCTCCTTTTTTAGCTCAAGGTGTGACAGACACTATCTAGCGAAGTGTAGTGAGCATCTCATTTCATGCTTTGACTCCTCCAGTCTGCAGTGAAAGCCACAGCCACCTTAAGGAGCTGGAGAGGGGCTGGAACAGCACGAGGTGTCTTCTGCCCCGTTTCTGTTTTATCTACCTTGCACCTCATGCCTGTGCTAAATGAATTTGACAAAAGGTTTATGCATGGATGTAGAAGAATATATCCTCAACTCGTTCTCGAAGTTGCTGAATGCTTGTGTGAATAACCAACCCTCAGCACATGGCCCTGCTTACTCACTGCTTGGGGAACACACCAAGTACTTACTTCTCTCCCCACCCTGTACATTGGGTTCTTAAGCTTAGAGATGATCATGACGTTGCTGTGCAGTTTTCTGCTGCTTACTTTTAAGTTGAAATCTCGTTTTTGTTTCAGATTCTCCTTCTTCTGTGGTTAACAAACAGCTCGGATCCATGTCCCTTGATGAGCAACAGGGTGCGTGCAGCAGGAGATGTGCTACGGCCATCCAGCCGTAGTTCTATTGCAGTCATAAACCACGCTTTCTCTCTCTCTCTTCATAGCGTTCCGTTTGGTCACGTCTAATAGGCAGCATTTTGTGGGCAGTCACCCTAGGTGGTATTGTGCACAGAGGGCTTTCTTGGCCTGTGCAAATTATTTTCTATGTGAGCTAATTTCTATCTTTGGTCCTTTATACCAACTTTGAATTCTCTTCCTATAACAATACTGTAATGGATATAAACTGTATCCATTTTTTTTCAATTTTTTTTTTAAATTCTAGGTGCCTATCATAAAATTGTGTAGAACTGTAGATGTGAGGTTAGCATATTATCTAGTGGATAATTTAGAAAAGGTTATTTGAACATAGTGATACTCTGTGTTACTACATTGCTATAGTAACGTTATTTGGTTTTATGTCTCACTTTTCTGGTGGTTAAGCTGCTGGTAGCTTTAACTATAAGGAATACAGTTCCAAGCTCCAGAGCCACCAGTTGGAGGGGAAAATAGCTTCCACCCGCCACCTGGATTTGTTGAAGTAGGAGAAGTGTAGGATCAACCTTGAAGCCTTGAGCACAGCCTGACGAGACAGATTTTACAAATATTTTTCAAAAAATTAAAAAAAATAACTTAGCACTAAAGCCATAAGCTTTATTTAGGTGGCTGAAAGTACATATGTAGGGGGACACTCGCTTGTCAGCAGTATTGGGGAGATTAAACATTGCTGAGGTGCCTATTTAGTGTGAAATATTCAGAAATTGATTTTAAAACAAATTAGAAAACTGCTTCTGTACTTCTGATTTTAATTATCGTTTATAGACCTGAGATGACACGTATTCCTATAGGTTTTTCTGATCTTGAGAATGAATAAATGAATTGGTAAATGAATTTGATAACTAAGAAATTAAGCATGTTTTATCTTTATATGTTCATTGTAGTGGTATTAGCAGTGAAGAATAATTAAAGTAAAGCACAGTTTTAGTAGCATTATATTGTAATATACTACTCTTTAAAACTGCTCTCTGATCAAATAATCTTTTTTTGTAAGGATATATGAATATAAACAGTGTCTTACTACCAAAGAGTTTGTAGCCAGATTTATACTCTATAAAATCACATAGAATATTTTCCATGGAATTATATTGAATATTATATTCTATTTAAGTTGGCATTTAATTTACATATGATATGGGATATGATGGAAAGAGACAAAGGATAACTCCCACATTTTTGGCATTAATCCCTGGGTGACTGTTGATGCCATTTACTAGGGTGGGCTAGTCTGGAGGCAGAAATCAGGAGGTTTGGAGGGTTTTATTGGCCATGTAAAGTACGAGATCTGACAGTTAAGTTCGTGAACTTGCCACCGTGCGATTACATTGGCAGCACTGTGCAAATAGCTCAGTGAGGTTTCATAACCTTGGTATATCAGTTTCTCACAGCTGTGTTCATGTCAACGTGTGGCGGTGTCTTGCTGAGTGGCATTCATTATTGTTGTTGTGTTTTTTGTGTGTGCCGTTGTGAGAATGCCTGAGCTTGAATTAAAGCAATGAACAAACATTAAATTTATTGTTAAACTTGACAAGAGTGGAAGTGAAATCAGGGACATGTTAGCCCAAGTTTATGGGGATAATGCCATGAAGAAAACGGCAGTGTGCAAATGGATTAAACGTTTTTCTGAGGGGAGAGAACGTGTTACTGATGGACTGGTCAGGGGGCGGCCAATAACAAGCAGAACTGACGAAAACTGCAAAAATTTGTCTAATTGTGCATCAGAATCGTCAGCCGACTGTGAGAAGCATAGCAGACCAAGTCAGCATTCATAGAGAAACAGGAAAATCTTAACTGAAAATCTTGGCGTGAGAAAGGCGTGTGCAAAAACGGTACCGAAGGAGCTCACCGATGCACAAAAGCAAAGGAGAGTCAAAGTTTGCCAAGACCTTTTTGCAGAGGAAAGATGGTGTTTTGGGCCATGTTATCACTGGTGATGAAACATGGGTGTACCAACATGACCCTGAAATAAAGCATCAAAGTGCACAATGGAAGTCAGCCAATTCTCCATGACCAAAAAAGTTCCATCAGTCCAAATCAAGAGTCAAAACGAAGTTCTTAACCTTTTTTGATACCAGAGGGATTATTCATGAATTTGTGCCAAACGGACAAACGTTTAACCAAATTTACTATTTGGAAGTGCTGAAAAGGCTGCATGAAAAAGTTAGATGAAAACAACCTGAACTTTTCACCAACAATTTATAGCTCTTGCATCACGACAATGCACCAGCTCACATGACACTGCCTGTGAGGGAATGTTTTAGCCAGTAAACAAATAACTGTATTGGAACAACCTCCCTACCCACCTGATCTGGCCCCCAATGACTCTTTTCTTTACCTGAATATAAAGGAAATATTAAAAGGAAGACATTTTGATGATATTCAGGACATCAAGGGTAATATAATGACAGCCCTGATGGCCATTCCAGAAAAAGAGTTCCAACATTGCTTTGAAGGTGGACTAGGTGCTGGTGTTGGTGCATAGCTTCCCAAGGGGAGGACTTCGAAAGTGACTGTAGTGATATTCAGCAGTGAGGCATGTAGCACTTTTTCTATCATGAGTTCTTGAACTTAATTGTCCAACCTCATATATCTGTAAATACTATATTTTAAATTCAGAGAAAAAATAAGTTAGTGAAATCAGACTTCTTTTAGATTTTTTTATATTCCTTAGAACTAATGATCACTTAGGTGCTTAGAATGAAGTAACTCATTCCTTTTTCCCCAACTACTAAGTCTAAGTCTTCCAGTTAGTTTTACACAGGTTTCCCCAGCTACGTGAAAGTAGGGTGTTTCTGTGAAACCTTTCTGTGAAACCGAAATGGGCTGAAGCATATATTCAAAGCCGAAAGCACAAAATAAATGGAGATAACTAGCCCTGACACTTGCAGGCACAGTTGGAGAGCCTGATGCTGAGATGCTGAGTGGGGTTCCCGGGAAGGAGCTTGGTGGGGCTGGTGAGTCTGCTCGCTGCTCAGGTGCGCACTGCCTCCCTAACAGCTGCTGCAAAACAAACGCTGGATGCTCTCTTTGCTTTTCTCCTTTTTTCATAAAGGCAAAAATCCACTTCGGATTTTTTTTGCTTAGCAAAAACAGGTACTAATGTAGGTCTTTTGTAAAAGTGAAGTGGTGTAACGTGAACTTTCGAAAAGCAGGGGATACCTGTATTTGATCTTTTGGAAATTAAACCCTATTTAATTTTTATTGCATATACTCATTTGTTCCACGCTCCTGCTAACCAAATTAATATCTATATCTCCAGTTAAATTGTTTTCGAACTCTGAGTTGTCTATGATAAAAATAACCGATGTTTATTGAGTTTTTAGTATGTGACTCGACCTAAGTTAAGAGTTTTACATGCATTATCGCATTTGCTCCAGTTTAATGAGGTAAATCCTAATATTATCCTGATTTTACTGATGAAGAAACCAAGACTCCAAGAAACATGTAAAGACAAGTGAAATAAGTGGTGGAGCCATTTGTATGTCCTTTTCATGAAATTCCGTGGAATTTAAATGCCTGTTTACCATGTGGCAAGTGCTGGACTCGGCTCTAAGATGCACGAATAAAGCTAGTGCTTGGAACAGAGTTGATTGACAATAACTATTAATAATAATAATTAACCATAATAATAACAATAGACACATATCACATTTTCTTTGTGCCAAACATTACTTTGAGCAATTTTTGCATGTTAATTTACTTAATCCTAACCACACCTTATATAGTGGGGACTGTCATTATCCCCACTTTCCAGATGAGGAAACTGAGGCAGAGAGAGGTGAGGAAACTTGTCCAAGTGTTAGAAATGTGACTCAAACCCAAGCAGCTTGGCTCCGGCGTCTGTGATCATAACCACTGTGCTTTGCCTCATCTAACAGTAAAGACAGACGATGAACTAATATGTACAAGTGGTACAAGTGTGATTAGTGTTATAAAAGTGGGAATAACAGGGCTCAGTGGGAACACGCAAGAGCAAGTCTTCATTTCCTCTCATGGGAGCCAAGTGAGGCATCCCTGAGCTGAGATCTGAAAGGTGACGATGGCTAAGTCAGGTCAGCGGGCCATAATCCGCTGGAGCAGAGGCCTGAGCCTGTCACATTTGATGACTGGAAGAATCGAGTGTGTCTGGAGCCCCCATGATGTCGAGAGAGGGGTAAGGCCCAGACTGAGAAGGATGCTTTGGACATGTTAGGGTTTTGTGTTTTAAGGACAGAAGGACGCTAACAAAGGTTGTCAAATGGGGAGTACTAGTCTGGCCTGGCTTGTTCTGTGTAGAGTGGAGAATTGACTAGAGACTAACTTGATCTTTGATGTGTCTACATTTTTTCAGAGGATTTCACCATGTAATTTGTTTTGTTTTAGATTTTTGTTTGTTTGTTGTTTTGGTAAACATTTGGCATAGTGGAATGAGAAGTGTTGCCAAGTTCATGTATAATAGAGAATTCCTTAGGTAAAGAATATTTTCTGTATGATCTACAGGTTATCTAAGCTATTATAGTTGATGAATGTATGATTGTACAATTCTAACAGTGACCCAGCTGCAAAGAAAATGTTGGGCATAGTGGTTCTAAACAAATTATTGTGGCTACACCCTAGTCAATTATCTGCATTTTGAATACTTGGTTTAAATTTACAGATAGGGTGGGTCTCCAGGGGTGTCCTAGCTAAAAGTCCAAGCATCCATGTCAATATTTAGATGATACACAAACCTGGTTACCAAGATAGTATAGTTTGTACTACTGAGAGCACAATTTTATGTATGTGTTTTAGAACCACAAATGAATATAATTTCATAGTAGAAACGCACAGATTAAATAGTTTGAAAATATATGAAAAAAAAGTTAATTGGTGGTTCTTATGTGAGCCATCGGAAGATATCTAATTAAATAACGTTAAAAGAAGTTGCTTTCAAATTATACTCCAGCCCATATTGAAATTTTTTTCCCGAACCAATGCACCAACCTGTAAAATTGGGCTTTTATACCATTTCTGGAAAGGATCTTTTAAATTTGGTTTTCAGAATCTTATGTTATAGACTATTATTCACTTCTGTAAATTGAAGTCTTATACAGTACAATGTGGTGTCTGATTTGTATGTCGTTGTTGCTGGGCTTCTGAAGCATGTGTTTGAAGTAGGTGGAGTTTGCCTGACAGAGAGCACTGTAAGCTGCCAACGCCCTCTGTTGTTGCTGATAACTCTAGTTGCTAAGCAGTGCAGAACCGCCATTGGAAAACTTAGAAGTGTCGGAAGTTCAAGGGGACCTTCCCCCACTGCACTGCCCTTGTGCTGAGTGCACTCACAATTAATTTTATTTCCCTATGATGTCTTTAGAAGAAGAGATAGTTTGATCTCTAAAGTGCCTCAGAAGATACAGCCCACTTTTCCACCACTCTGATGCCAAAGCGACAGTTGTGGCAAACAGAACTTGTATCTATTATGTTAATGTTGCTGATATGACTTATACGTCATTTCTGAGAAATAACCACTAATAGCTGATATTTCTTAATTAAAATAGTTATTTATTTAAGCAATCTTACTTTCTACTTTTTATTCAAGTAATTTCCGAGACAGTTTAGGAAGTTTATGTGGAAGGAAACTAGATAGCCAGAGGAAAAAACCCAGCCCAATAGTTTCATCATCTGTAACGCAGAGATGATAACATGGCCTACAAAGATTTTAAAAGGAATACACATACGTACCCTGGCACATAGCAGTGCTCAGTAAATTTACTTCTGTTGTGATGGTGCTTTCTATATAAAGTCATTTGTGTGTAAGTGAGGTGCTGAACCTTACGGCTCTTAAATGAATATCTCCACTTGTTAAGCCAAATATGTAAGTAACCTGCATCTGTGCTTTATGTAAGTAAGGCTTTCAGTAGTACAGTTTAGAATGTGTTTGCTAATCCAGCCTCTTAACACATAGAGCAACTTAGGAGAAATGAAAATGGCTACAAATATTTTTTCAAATAAAGTAATAATAAATCAAATTTAGTGTTTTAGTACTTTGAAGTAGAATTTTCTTAGACACTTGTAGCTTAAATATGTGTTTTGTCAGAAATGAATTGTGAGTTAATTCACAGGTAAGCTGGGGATCTGTATTCCTGAGGAATTTCAACCTGGTAGACGTAAAGGATCAAGCGAAAGAGTATTGTACCAGGAAGAGGAGACTAGACCAAGGCGAGGGAGTGAATCCTAAACCTCACATACATCCCCCCATTCAGAGACCGGGCTCTGCGTGTGTGGTGTTCTGGCCAGAGGCCTCGTTATTTATGTGCCGTCTCCAGGAAGATAGCTGGCCTGGGTGGGGGCCTGACATTTTTGTAGCTAACAGAGGAGTGCGTTCTACTTACGTAGTTAGTTATGGGCCAAGTTCATACAAGGCTGGTGAGTTCATTAACAACGTAAATGGACACATTCTGTCAACTATAGTCATTTTATAAATTAAATGAATACTATGATGTACATGATTTACAATATGTAGATTATGTTCATGAGAGATTAAATAGTAACTGTAGTAGATACCATAAAGAAGAAGGTTTTAATTAACATTGACCATTTCAGGAAGCTTGTTGCTTTTGGGGGTGGGGGTCCTGTATAAATTTAAATGATGTTTTCTATACCATTCTGATCTCTTGACAGCTCTTTTTTTTTTTTTTTAAATATATTCCTGTAGTCACAGCATGCAGGTATCATTAACTGTCTCTAATTTTATTCAAAAGGAAAGTTTTGATACAGCATTTAAATTTCACCAGGCTTCTCTTAACTTGCACTTCTACAACCAATGGATCTACAAAATTCAGTCCTGCTGCCCCTCACATCTGCTTTTGCTTTCTGTTCCTTCTTCACTTTAAAATGTAAATAAATAGCAAAGGACTTTCTACAATGTTATGAGAGGTAATGAAAGAACCAGCTTTGCCTCTTAATCAGTTAGTCTTTCAGTTGTCTGTCTTCCCCAATTCCAGAGGCCTAACAATGACTGTGACTTTGGCAGCAGTGGGACACAAGTTTCAGCAACATAACTAAAGAATAAAGGAAAGCTATGTGTGAACAAATGATTAACAGCAAAATTTTCAAAGATGGTCAGGATAGGACAGATGTTTTAAAAGTCCCATTCTTGATCATTTTATGTAAGCCAGAAGTCTGTTAATTATTTTATCAGCACGCCATTTGGCAAAATATCTCCTCTAAAACACTGATTGTGATACCAAATCTTTAAAAGTTGTAATGGATTGTTAATGTATTTCCAGCAGCTATTTATATATAGTCGTGACCAAAGTAGTATAGAAACAAAGTGAGTTTACCAGCTGGGAAACAGTTCTATTTTCAAATACTAATTAAAGTTACAGGAGAGGATTTCTCATGAGTGAGAAATGAAGACGTGAAATTGATACCTTGAGTTTTGTTATCAGCTTGACTTCTCACCTCTTGGAGAGAATCCTTTTTCCTTCCTCCTGTAGTTCTGTGCTTGAAGTCTTGCTAGCCGCCCGCTCATGGAATGAGAGCTAGAGCACAGGCTGTCTCAGATTGTCTTTCAGTAAGTGTGCCAACGACTTCGGGAGAAATGAGAAAAGATCTAAGTTCTTTATTGCCATGTAAACTGGACCTAAATAACCACAAAGCTTGAGTAATTTTGGTATTACTAAGTTGTTATTGCTTTTGTTGTTTTTCAAGACAAAGCTTATTTTTAGCACTATTATATCAGTTCTTGAACTGGTATCAAGCAGTTATGTCACAGATTTTTTCCTTCTGCAGGCAACTGGCAGAAATGTTACATGCTTGATAATACAGCAGTTTGTATTCACTGTGTATTTTAATGCTCCCCCAAGCTGTTATTTATCATAAATTTTTTTTAAACCCTATTTAATTTTGTCCTTGAATATCTGTGTACTCTTTTTTGGAGGGGTGACTTTGAAGTGGTCTATGTTAATTTCTGTAGGGTCTCTTGATTTTATTTGCCATTTTACAAAGATTGTATATGTTGAAATAGACATATGTCATGGAAATCACCTATAGATTCTTAAGGTGAAATTGCCACTTCCATAAATTAGTGATCAAATTCCTTGCAAGATTAGTCAGGAGGAGAAGATGAAATATAACAAAACATCTGATCTTATAACAGAGTTTTAGAAAATATAATAAAACAATACATTTTTTTCCCCATTTCCCCCAAGGGAGTGCAGGCTGTACTCCCTCCCTAGATTATAAGTCTATGAACTTGAAAGACAGAATTTTCTTTCAGAGCTCTTGCATCATTTCAGTTTCTGAAGGAACCAGTGGGAGGTAGTTATTCTTGATGCTGTAGCAACTGAAGTAGAAAACCCTGAGCATCCCGTTAAATAAAAGTACCGGTTTATAACGTATGTCATTGCATGGTAGTAGTCTTTGATTCCCTAATGAGGAAATATTGTTCTCAAATGTGTTTGATTTCCATCTGAATCAAAGGGAGTCATGTACACAAAACTAGAATGATACAATGCTGCTTTGAAATATAAGTGTTTCTATAACACTTGCCTTTGAACTTGAAGTGAGAACCATAACAGATGTGAGAAAGAATTATGACAACGACAACCTAATTTAAGTTTTATAAATGTTAGGAAATGTCATCTTTTTATTGGTTTCAGAGACTTTTTCAAATGTTTTAAACACAATTTTCAGATAACAATAATGAAAGGCTGAGCCCCAAACCAGGGACAGGTGAACCAGTTTTAAGTTTGCACTACAGCACAGAAGGAACAACTACAAGCACAATAAAACTGAACTTTACAGATGAATGGTAAGTTAATATTTTTGTAAAGCTGTTTTAGCCATTGTGTAGGATTGTATTAGATATTCTTTTTAGCACTTCATCATCGTTATGTCTTGTTTTGCTGTAATGTATTGATTCTTGAACTTGAGTATGTTTCAGAATCACTTGGAAAGCTTGTTAAAACGGATGACGGGGCCCCACTCTCAGAGTTCAGTTCAGGGAGGGGTGAGAGAAATTGCTTTTCTTAAAACTTCCCAGGCAATGCTGATGTTGCTGGTCCTGGGATATTTCTTTTGATAGAAAACGCAAAAGATAAAGAGAATTAATCACTTATAAACCATTAGTACAAAAATAAACCTGACGTTTAGGAGCTTTTTGCCATCTTGGTCCTCTGTCTAGGGATGTGTGTGTGTGTGTGTGTGTGTGTGTGTGTGTGTGTGTGTATATATATATATATATATATATATATATATATATATATATATGTATATGTATATATATCTATTATGTATGTATGATTTTTGTTTTGAGTTTTAAAACATAATTTTAATCATACTGCATATACTCTATTTTTCCCTACATTTATTTGATTTAACTTTATAATAAACGTTCACAGACTGATACTTAGTTTCCATAAATATTATTTACTAGCTGTCTAGTAGTCCATCATGTAGATGTACCACAGCTTACTTAATGTTTCCCTTGATTTGGCCAGTGAATTCGTTTACCTTTTTAAAATTTAAGCAAATAAGGCTATAATGAATATCTTTGTTTATAGGCTTTTCCCCCCACCTTTAATCTTTCCCCTTAAGATGATTGATTTGAGATATATTTCCAGAAATGAACTATATCTAGGTCAAAAGATATTGCCAAATTATTTTCAAAAGTATCTTCTGTCATTACATTTCTGCCAGCAGCATATGAAAGTACACATTTTGCTCTCTTTAGTGTTCAAAATACTGATTTATTTTTAAGTGGTATATTTGATTTTAAGATAATATTTATTTTTGTTTAATTGAGTACTAGTAAGGTTGAACTTTATGTTTACTTAATGGTTGTATAGATTCTCTTTAATGACATTTCTGATTATATTTATTGCTCATTGATCTAGTTAAATCTTACACTTAAAAAAATCAAGTTATGTTTCTTATATTCTTTTCCATTGTCTCATGGCCTTTTGCTTGATATTACCTCCAAAATTCTTTATTTAAATGTATTACTATTACTATATTAATGTAATTAATATAAAGATAATATAATCTTCCTTAATATATAATAGAATTAATTATATATTAATATAATTATATTATTAATATACAGTAATTATATTAATTATTTTATAACCAATACATTAATTATCCTGTATAATTAATATATTATATTAACATACTTAATTGTATATTAATATAATTATTATATATTATGTTAGTATGATATATAATATATATGAATGATATATAATGTTATATATTGTTTATTAATATATAATTAATTATATGTTCATATATGATATTATTTATGTATTCCAATTTACTGGTTTTCATTTGTGTTTGTGTGTGTATGTATTTTATATTAAAACCTTTGATTAAATAGGATTTTCAGATATTATTGAATACGTTCTATGTTCCATCGAGTATTCTAGACAGTGGAAATACATAATTGAAAAATGTAGACCAAACATCTCTGTCCTATTGGAGCTCACATTCTAGGTGGAGGAGTCAGACAATAAACATAATAAATAAGTGAATCGTGTAGTGTGTTAGAAGGTACTAAGTGCTATGGAAGAAAATAGAGCAGGTAAGGCTGATTGGCAGACGTAGGGAAGGGTAGACATCACTGAGAGGATGACATCTGGACAAAAACTTCAAGGGGTAGGAGTGAGCCATGCATGTAGCTGGGGGAAGAGCCGAGAGAAAGCCAGTGCACAGGCCCTGGGGAAGGAACAGACCGAGTGTGTTTAGGATCTTTAAGAAAAGCACATGCGTGTGGCCAGAGTGGGGACCAAAGGCGAGAGTGGCAGCAGATGAGGTCAGCCACGTGAGTGAGGAGGATATTTGGAAGGATGAAGCGTATCTGGTTGCTGTGTAGACACCAGGCCATCAGTAGAAGCCTGAAGACCAGTTAAAAGCTGTGGCAGTCAGCACGGTGAGAGGCGGTGGTGTCTTGGACCAGGATGGGACAGTGGCGGTGCTGAGAAGGGACTGGACTCTTGATGTGTACTTGAAGGTGCAGGCAATAGCATTTCTTCATGAGACCTCAGCTTTTTAAAATCATGGCCCTTTCTCTTCACACATAATTTAAGATCATAGGAGACTGACACACTCTTCTTGTCTTTGCTATTCTCATGATTCTGGACAGAAGGGGCTGATTTCTTACAAAGACTCTCATCTGAGCATATTTTTAGAAAAAATGGTTAGTCCCACTCCTCTTTCCAATGCTACTTTTCCTTCTCTGAAAACTGACCGTGAATTATATTCTCTAGTTCATCAGTTTCTTATTTCTTTATCAAAAAAGTAATACTTTTATTCTGATTAAGAGAGTATTCCATATGCATTGTAAAAATAAAATATTCATAAAGGATGCAGTCCTTTTCTTCTCTGCCACTGTGGTGTTGCTTTTGATTTAGTTTCTTTGATGACAGATAAGGCAGCAGAGCACACTAAGAGCTTGTACTCTGAACTTGACGAGCTTTTGAACCTTTCTAAATCTGTTTTTTCACCTGAAAACAGGCGTATTTAATAGAACCTACTTCAGAGGTTGTGGGGAAGATTGAATGAGCTCAGGCAGGAAAAGTCCCTAGCACTTAGCACACTGACTGACATGCGAAAGGCCCTAAGGAACTGTTAGCTACAAGTACCCTCTTTTGTAAATTGTCATTCAGATCCTTCACACTGATTCCTAAGGTGGTGTTTATCTTCTTATTGACTTATGAGAGGTTTATCTTTATTATCGAATTAAGTGAGGATAACACCATTTGTCTTTCATTTGTTGCAAATATTTCTCCCAGTTTGTTGTTTGTCTTTCAGTTAGCTTATGGTAGTTTTGCTTTATGGTTTTAGCCTGTGAGCTCATGCTTAGAAAAGCCTTGTCCCTCCCAGGATTAGGGGGAAAGTTTGTTGTTTTCCTCTTATATTTCTATGATTTTATATCACAAGTTACATGTTTTATCCTACAATTTATTTCACCATAAAGTGTGGTGTAGAGCTATAGCTTCATTTCCCACATGACTGTCCCTTTGTCTTAGTGCCATTGATTGAATAATCTGTTCATTTCTCTGTGATTTAAAATGTCATATTAACACGTGCTAAATATATTTACTTGGTTACTTTGTCTTTTCAACTAATGGCTCACTATTCCTACGTCAGTGCCGTAATGTTTTAATTATCATAGCTATTATACACTGAGCATTTGATTTATGCCTGTGTCGTAGGACTCTCAATGGTAAAAAAAAGGATTCATGTAGCACATCAGCTGTTCTTTACCACAATGACTATATATTTCTTTCCATTTAAAAAGAAATACATAGTAATTGCAAAAAAAAAAAAATTCAGAATTTACAGAAAACTATGAAAGAGTCACTTGCAGTAATCCTGCTGAGGTGACACTAACATTGGTGCATGTTTTTTCTGACATGTCTTTTTGTGAATATACCCATATGGATATACATTCTTTTAAAAAATACCGTATTACACATGGATGCCCTTTTAATAAAAACCAAATTGACGTCTGCAGTTAGCCTACAAGGGTTTTTATAAAATCAAGGCAAAAAGTTCATGATAATTTGCATTGTTTATTAGTCACGCTATTTGTCTATAATTAATGTTTTTTTATTTTCTTGTTCACATTCTAAATTTAAGAAATTGTTGCATTTCTGTGAATTTAATTTTAATCTTAGATTGTCACACGTTTTCCTCTATTTCCTTTCCCACTCAGTTCCCTCTTTACACATATGTCATGCCACGATTTGTCACAAAATACTCATTGGAAATTGTCTTTTTAAATTGGTCTAGTAAATGCTAACAGAATTATGGTCATCATCAGGTGGGCATTAAAACCAAACAGAAAACATTATGCTGCCCTTCACCAAACCATGGTGTTCATCACCTGCCATATTTGAACAACAGCCCAGAACTGGAAGTGACCCACAGAGGGCAGATCAGAGACAGAAGGAGACTAGCCTTTTTTCAAGCATTAATTTAAAAGAAGCCTAGAGCAACAGAGTCTCCCAGGGCATATGATCAGAGTCTGTGAAACCATCAGGGGTTTGGATATGCTGAGCCATCCCCAGTGAGGGTAAGAAGAGAGACAGCGTGATGAACTTCAAATACAAGAGAGAGTGGTGTAGAAATATATGATATGGCCGATCACAGAAGCATTAAAATGGTGTAGAAGCGGTCCTTTTGTATTTTTAGATCTCTTTTTTAAGATTGAAGTGGATTAGCATAGTCACCTTGATTATTAAAAGCGATGTTTTACAAGTACTATTAAAATAATAAATCCTACATTTTATTTGTAGCCTGAATTTTTTTTTAACTACTTCTGTAGTTGTAAAATATAAATATTCTCCTAAAACATATTTATTAACTTCTTGGCGGAACCACTTCTCTTGTTTTGGTGACAGGAGCAGCACTGCCTCGAGTTCCAGAGGGACCGGGAGCCATGGCAAGCCAGAGGGCGAGGAGGAGCCGCTGGTCCCCGAGGGCGCGGGGTGGCCCACGCCAGCAGGAGCCCGCGAAGCGCGTAAGCCGTCACTTGGCTTTTGTCATCACAGAACCCCGGTGTTGGACGCCCGCCTAGTGCTCTGCTCCCTCGATGGTGTAGCTTGTTTCTTGTTTTCAATACATTACTTTTGCCTCTGTAGTCCAGCTGTTACTATTGATAAAGAACAGGTGCAGCAGGTACGGGGCATCAGCATTTCAGATGGGGCGTCACAGGGCAGCACACGTCCCCTCTGAGGACACAGTGACCGCCTTAGGTGGTCGTCACACTGACAGTATGTGAGCTGTAAATGCCTGAATCGTTATTACCATTTTTATACCCAGCATTGGAATTCAGAGTACCTGCTTTCATTTTTATCCAAGAGTATAGGTGATTTTTGGAGGAACAAAAAGAATAAAATCCAAACAGGTTATGAGTGAATCCTGTTTCATACAGGAAGTGCCATTTAGGGAAATTTTCAGAACTCTATTCTAGAATATGTTTATGTAACCATTATATGAAAGTTAGTGTCTAGTGCAGAGTCAATTTTCAATAAATACATGACAAATGAATAAGTGAATTCTGTTTCTTATAAAGATGAATAGATTCTTCATTGTAACAGAGTTTACAGAATTAAATATGAGTATGTGTGAGACAACTGCCTGGGAGCAAAAAACTGATCCTTCACGGGTCTTAGAGGTAAATCCGAGAAATAAGTATTTTCAATGGACACACAGAATTTATGGTAGGGTCAGCTGTACTGTTTGTACATGATAATCCAGATTATACCAAATGTATGCTAAAGGGGCAGAAAAAGACTGTTTTAAGGTTACATTTTGTGAAGGTTAGCAAAAAGCAAGCTCAAGGCATGCTGTCTGTGAGGGGCAGTCCAAAGCAGGGATTCTCCCCGGGAGTTAGTCTGTGATGCCCGGGCTTCGGGAGGGGCCGTGGGCAGAGCAGCACATCCAGCCCTGGCAGCCTTTGTACCATTTCGTATGTGCGTGTGTGTGTGTGTGTGTGTGTGTGTGTGTGTGTGTGTGTGTGCGCGTGCGCGTGCGTGCGCGCGCGCGCGCATCGTTCTGGGGGGGGGAGCTTTTATCTGAGTGTCAAGTTTGTATGACCCAAAAAAGGTTAAAAACTACTTATACATAGGAAAACTGATGCTTATTTACACTGGTGCTTATTTTTCTGAAAAAAGTTGGATTTAATGATCATTTGATTTCCCAGAAGCTCCTGAGGAGTCAGAGGATGTGACAGCATATCAAGGAAGTGCAGCTGCAGAAAACACAGTTCAGAGTCATCTAGATACAGGTAGGTTGTCTTCCTCTCTTTAGATAGTTGCTTCACGTGGGAAATTAAGAAGCCTGAATCTGTGTTGGTTTCCAGAGGAGAGGCCATTTCCAAATACATGTGAAATTTTCCTCTCCGTGTGGGGAAATTGGGCTTTATATTAGAAAATGTCTGTGTCAGCTTTGAAGTTAGAGTAATTAAAGTTGCCCACATGACCACCTGTCACTGCTTTGTTTTCCGACAGCACAATCAGACAAGTCCACTTGTGAGCCATCGGATTCCAGCTCAGGAGAAAGACACGGCTTCAGTCTTGATGGCCCTTGCGGGGTTGCGGAAGAACCGGCTTTGTCTGAAGAGGGCAAGGAAGCAGACACTTCCGATCAACTGAGCGCTGAGAGTGCCGATGATCACAGCACCAGCCCCCTGGGGCCCAAGCCCCAGACGGAAGGCATCGGGCCCGTGCCTGCTGAGGAGACAGCAGCCAGGGACTCAGCGCCCCAGGACACCGATGACAGTGATGATGACCCCGTCCTGGTCCCAGGGGCGAGGTATCGAGCAGGACCTGGCGATAGGTTGGTGCATCTTTAATAAACATGAGCTGTACAAAACAGAATCCACAAGGCTTCCTTGGAGGCCACATAGAGGAGTGTCCCCATTTTTGACAGTTGCTTCCTTGAAGGGTGTCTTAGTCATACAAACTCACAGAAGTTTTTAAGCTGTCAGTCATTTTACATAGGACATTCGTGAGCAACATGTGCCTTAAGAGGGGAATAAAAAGTCTCGTTGCTGTGTGTCCAGCGCTGCGGCTCGCTCCTCAGCTTACAGATCGAGAGGAAGGAGCGCTGAGAGCGGCCAAGAAGTCCTTCACAGCCGCAGTTATATTTAGCTGACATTGCCCTGTAGGCACCCTGGCTTTCATCAGGTTTTTTTGGATTTGTTTTTTAAATGTTCATTTTTTCTGCTTTTCTATTGACCCTGGGTTAAGGATTCTCATTTTGAGAACATTAAGTTTTTCTTTGATTTACTTAACTTAGTAACTCAATTTAGAAAATGAAGAAATCACACCAAATAACAAATAGTGTAACTACAATAAAGACTTGAATTAACATGTTCATTTACTTTTCCCATTTCTCATTGTATGTGATCATAAGGATATATTTTATTTTTAGTAGATAAAATAAGTATTTTTAAGTATATTGCATTCCATACTTTTCAAAAACGATTTCTCCAATTAGTGCCATCATACCTCACTGTAAGTCCTGTCCTCTTTCAGAGAATCAAATTTTATATTTAAAATCCTAGTGCAACAGGAGTAAAGAACCATGTCACATATTTCTGTGCTCAGTATATTGCTATTTATAAACTATTCTGACATACTGTTAAGTGAAAAAAATAATGAAAAGATTAATTGAATCACCACTAAACAACGACAATGTTGTATCATAATCAAGAGCATAATGACTTGGGTTTGAATCCTGGTGTTACACTTACCAGCTGTGTTTTCTCGCTCAAATTGCTTAAGGTCTCTTTACGTTTCAGTTTCCTTATCTATAAAATGGGGTTATGATTATCTAGAATTGTAAGAACTTAAAGCAAAAATCAGTTACAGGACTTGTCTCACACTAAAAGCCCGAAATAAATGATAGCTATTGTTAAGCAACCAAGGTATTCTGTGTGTCTGCTTAGACTTAAACAGCAGTTACAATAAGAAAGACTGACAGAGGATAAATGAAAATCCTGAGCAGTGTATCTTGCAGTTCAGTGAAACTGCCTCTTAACTATGAAAGTATATATGTCTTCCTTTAGTCATATTTAGTCAGAGGTTTACTTTGCAATGGCACTGTTTGTAAATGTAAAGGAAGTAACCTTTCCCTATATTTGTATTATACTTAGAATTAAATCATACATTTTCCCTTTAACTGCACACATTAGTCTATAGTAGTCTTAGTATATATATTTTAGACAAGTAAAACTTAGTTCATTTCTTTCCATACCCAGAGGGAGTCCTTTAGAATATCATTACCACTCGATGGATGCAGATAAGGTTAGCAAGCGTGGCACAACTGGCAAATCAAATTGATGGTTTCTAAAACCCAGAGTGGAGAGCTAGAGTCCACAATTATTTTAAGCTTGTACATTGTGGCCTTCTATTATATAAGTGAACACATGCCCTTATTTTTTTCTGTACATATGTAACAAAAGCAATACAAAGGTCATGGTTGAAAATAAAATGTAAGTATCCACTTTTTAATAAAATGTACCACATCACTTTCCAGGTTTGTTTGTTTAAGGAGGAAATTATATTTTTAAATACGTATTAGACACTTGCAAAAAATCATTATTAAGCATCTTTTATCCAAGCTAATTATAACACTTTTGTACCAATCCTGCTTTATAGCTGAGGAAACTGAGGTACTAAGCAGGAGTTTTGTCTGTTCTACACCTAAGGTGAATTAAAACAACAACAACACAGCAGTGTAACACCAGCGACAACGGAGGGTTTGGGGGAGGAGAGTCACTGGGATCCAGAGCTTCTTGACTATGTTATGTTATCCGTAGTTTGGAGACATTACCGGGAACTAGAATATCTCCCTATTGAGCTTTACCATTTACCATTTTCATAATGTTCAGATGATTTAGGGGTCCTTCTGGGCTTTGCATCTCCCACAGAGTTGGCACCTGACAGCCGAATTGACCCGAGAAACCAGGTGCTGAGCTAGCCTAGCAGAGCCTTCCAGAGGCGAGACAGTCGGGGACAGTGACCTGGGACTGACCCCACTTGTGTGTGTTCCTGAATTCATGATCTCATGGGTAGACCCAGATTTGAAACCACTCTGGATCTGCATTTGCTTCCCTGCTTTTTAAAAGAATGAAATATTATTTAACAGTGTGTATACTCAGTTTACGTATTTAGCCTTAGTTTGTCCCATATATTTTGTTTTATTTTATAGGACATAGTAGTAAACTTACTGAAGAGTAACAGAAGAGTAATAAAATTCTTACCTTCGAGAAACTTGATTTATTGAAGGAGAAAGGACAATACACAAGTCATTTATCAGACATAGAAAACAGTTTTAATAAATTTATGAAATTAAATACAATGTTATATATACACAAAGATATACATACAGGGGTGATGATGCTAAAGTGATTGTAGTGACTGGTTCACAATTGTACCAATTGTTCTTTGAAATTTGCATTATTCTTTCCTAGCTATTTATAAATTTGTAAATGGTGAAAAATCTTCCTTCTGACTTTCATCTAAATAATTTTTTAAGTCCTAACTTTTTTAGCACCATCTTGATTAAATCGCGAGCTATCTGTATAGAGTCTACTTTTAATGTTTCTGCACCTTTCTAAGGGCTCTTCGTCCTGAGACTACTGCCCATTTATCTTACTACTAAATCTGGAGGAATAGGTATGTTGACTTTTATTCTAAAGAGAAAAGTTTCAGAAATTTTGCTTCTTAAAAACATGAAAAAAATCATTTACCAGCTTGTAAGTAGGCCTGTGATTTCTGAGAATTTGTTTCCGAAGGGACAAAGGATCCCAGAGCTGTATTGTAAAAATCACACCATTTGATTCTCAGAGTCTCAGGATACATTTCACACTTGGACAAAACACCCAACTGAAGGTTGCATGTCTTACAGAGAAGCCCAGCTCAGATCACTTTGCTTAGGGTGGACAAATGGCCCGAAAATTAAAAACGGTCAAAGTATATATTTTTTTTGCCCCAAATTTAATTTTTAAAATGAAACCTAAAAAGTTTATACCTAAGCCATTTTGGACACACATTTAATAAAAATATCAAAATAAGTCTTTGCAATGCAAAGTAATGGTTTCTTTTTAAAGATTTACATTCTTATAATTTGGTTAAGTAAATATGACCCTGGTTTTCACTTTTGGGCTGAGATCAAGCATGAGAAGGAAATGTCTTAGAAAATAAAGGACTTAACAACTAACATAGATATTTTTAAATGGAATGTTCTTCTCATTAACTCTAGCTAGTCTTGGTATAAATATAACTGGGACTCTCTAGCAGAGGTCATCAGACTTTGTCCTAAAAGGCCAGATAGTATTCTAGGCTTGGCTGGCAAAGAGGCAAAATGGAGGCTACTTTGTAGGTACTTCTATAACCACTTAAAATGTAACCATTTACAGATACAAGAGCTGGTCTTGGCCTGTGAGCCATTACAGAAGTGGGTGGCTGGCAAGGTCATTCCCAAGAGCCACAGCTTGCTGGTCCTTACTCTGGAGTAAATCAGTCTTGTGGAGAGAAACCAGGCTACAGGCCATCGATGGGCAGATAGCCATGGTTTAAAACAATGACATGTGTGATGGCCACTTACTTGGTCCCCTTGAACTTTTTCTAGGGCAAGAACACAGCACATTAAGTGAAAACGAAATTGGAGGAACAAATAAACATATACTTTCTAATCATGGTATTAAACAATAATAACCAAATGTAGTGCGTGTACCCTGTAGTGACTTTGTGTACTGGATTCAGAAACATAAACACGTGCTTGGAGTGGAATGAAAGGCAAGTGGTCAGCTTGTCTACCTGGTGGTCTTTATATACAATGTTCTCACGGGGCCAGACCCATCTTAGGGTACCTGGCGTGATGGCCGAGCTAGTGGCTCCTCCTCTTTGCCAACAAACCCAAGAGGTGTTTGCTCTGAAAATAGACCAGCATCCCAGTAAGCTTCCTGAGCAGTCCTCACACAGTCCTGAATAGTTTTCAGTTACAGACATAATTCAGATGACCTAAAGATCTTTTCTGTAAAGACATTAACCCTATATTGCCTGTTCATCACTTTTTAAAACTGTGCCATTTGCTTAGACATTTGGCTCCATTTACCTACCCTGAAGCCCAAAATCCATACTGTAAATTCACCACCATCTATTTGGTCGTCATTATAATCACTGTTTTAGTATTTCTAATGGTTCAAGTTTATTCTTTATTAAATTGTAGGGGTGGGGGGCAGGGAGAACGAGAAGCAGAGAGAAGGAACGGGCCTCTCAGGGCGTTAAAAGCTGTTACACTTTGCTTGCTTGTTATTTAGTCTTCTGGTTCGGACAGATGCGTCAGCTCAGGGCTTGGTCATTTATTTCCTGAAGAGTGCCCTGAGGCTGGTCATGGAGGTGCCGCGCCTCGGTGCGGAGTGGGTGCGGGTCTCCACACGCTAACGGGAGGTTCCAGTCTATTCAGAAGACAGAAGGACTGAGGGCAGCAGTCCACCTTCAGCGAGTGTTTCTGTTTCCTGAGTTGCCTCGTACACGTCTAGCTGAATGACAGATTCTCACATAGTGCCCTCAGCCACAAAGGGAAGCGACGGATGTTTTAGCTTTAGACGGTTGGTGATAAAAAGTGGTGACCTTAATGCTTTAAATATTTGGTTCGTTAAAGTCTGTGAGTGACTTTAGTTATTGTGTTCCCTTCACTAGATTTAATATCAGAGGAACAACAATAGGTGATAGAATAATGAGGTAATTCAGTCTGTTCCTTCATTATTTTATTTCTTTATGATGAATTTGCCAGGTCCTCTTTTTCCACAGCTAACCACCTTTCCTATTAACAGTTAATACTTCCTTGAACTTACTGAACCCTAAGCACTAAGCATTGTAAAGCAGGCTGCTTTTCACTGACTCTACTTAGCTGCATGCACTGCATGGGAACAGAATGAGAGACCCTGTGTGCAGAGTTAACTGATGCTCACTTGACGTGTGTCATATGATGAGGCGGCCATCACCCAAAACAGTATAGTCTACACGTGGGTTACTGGCTTTGACTATTTTGTTGAAGAATGCAACTTACATTTCCTTAAAACTTGATTGGGATAACAATTAGCAACTTTCTGTTATTATTAAAATATACTCCTTTTCCTTGAGATCAGTAACTAAAAACGGACTTGAGTCTAATTCCTTGCGTAGTTTGACTGATTTTTTTTAAGAAAGTCGTTTTCTTATAAATAGCTTAGTAACTTAAGAAGGCCACACATCAAGATGATTCGTAACTCTCAAACACTGCTGTAATGTGAAGACCAACCATGGTGTACATTTTTATATGTAACATGAAAGGGGACCTGTCCCGTTATTTATCTACGTAAAACCTGGTTTACTCGACAGAACCAACCTGGGAGCTCATTCTGGTGGCACATGCCTGTTGTTTACTGTTCGTTTCTAAAACAAAAGTGGAATATAAAACGTAATTTATAGCAACAATCAGAAATGTCTCACTGTGTGGAGTTCCCCGGGAGAGTACAGAAATGATGAAGTAAGCCGCAGGATATGGCGGATGGGAAAGAAATCCCTTGTTAGGGCCCATCCTTATGAGGTTCTCGGGTAGATAGCTCGAAATTGCTTTTGCTTTTGTGCTGGTGTTTCTAGGCTGTTTTCACATTAAGATATATTTGAAGTAACTTTTTGCAAATTAGTGTCTTAAGTCATCACTTTCTAGGTAAATGACAGTAAAATGGAATTTGTTTCCATGCTTTTTGATTTTCTGGTTTATACCTTTTATCCCAAGTACTCAAAGCCAGTTTCTGTTTACAGGGAAGATATGCAACTAAAACGTACCATGTTGCTTTAAATGGGTTATAGAAAAGCGAAAACATGGACGTGGAGATTATTGTGAACAATGGTAAACCGAGAATGTGACACTTGACCCCCCCTTAGAGTGAATGAAATTACACTCAGCTCGTCCTTTCTCACATAGAGATTGTCTGGGGAAATCGCTAATTAGAAGGCAGTTTGTTCCTGCCCGTTTTTATCTTCCACTCATTGTCTGCCTTTTGTGGTTTTAATTCAGCATTTTATGATTCCACTTTCTCTCCCTTCTTTGAATATCAGTTATACTTCTCTTTTGACTATTTTTTAATGGTTGCCTAAAGCTTGCAATATACATTTACAACTGATCCAAGTTCACTTTCAAACAGCACTATACCCGCTCTGCGGGTAGTGTGAGCACCTTATGATAATAAAATCCCAATTCCTTCTTTCCATCGCTTGTATCATTGCTGTCATCCTTTTCGCTTTAATATAAGCATATATATGTATATACATGTAAGCATACATAGTAGGATACATTGTCACTTATTATTTTGAACAAACTGGTATCTGTTAGATCAATTAAGAAGAAGAAAAATGAAAGGTTTTGTTTTACCTTCTCCTTTGGTGCTCTTTCTTTATGTAGATTCATGTTTCTGACCTCTCTTATTTTCTTTCTCTCTAAAACATTTAACATTTCTTGCAAAGCAAGTCTACTGGCAACCAAGTCCCTCAGGTTTTGTTTGTCAAAAAAAATGTTTCCTGTTCACTTTAGAAGGATAATTTCGCAAGGTTCAGAATTCTAGGTGGTGATTTTTTTCTCTCTCTCTGAACACTTGAAATATTTCACTCCACTTTCTTCTTGCTTTATGGTTTCTGTGGAGAAGTCAGATGTTATTCTTACCTTTGTTCCTCTATAGGTAAGCTGTTTTTTCCCTTCAGGATTTTTTTCTTTATCTTTGATTTTCTCTATTTTGAATGTGATATGCCAAGATGTGGTTTTTTTGGCATTTATCCTACTTGGTGTGCTTTGAGCTTTCTAGATCCGTGGTTTGGTGTCTGACATTAATTTGAGGAGATTCTGTCATTGTTGTTTCAAAGATTGCTTCTGTTCCTTTCTCTCTTCTCCTGGTATTCCAGTGTTACACCTTTTATAGTTACCCAACAGTTTTTGGATATTGTTTGTTTTTTTGGTAGAGAGAGAGAGAGAGAGAGACTTTGTTTTCTTTGCTTTTTAGGTTTTGCGCTTTCTATTGACATATCCTCTAACTCAAAGATCCTTTTCTCAGCCACGTCCGGTCTCCTGATAAGCCCATCAGAAGCATTCCTTATTTCCGTTAGTTACTGTGTTCTTCGTTTTTTGGGGGATTCCATCTCTCCGCACACTGCCCTTTGCTCTTGTGTGCTGTCTGCTTTATCCATTGGAGATCTTCGCATATTAATCACAGTTGTTTTAAATCCTTCTGTTATAATTGCAGCATCCCTGCCATCTCTGGTTCTCATGCTTACCCTGGCTCTTCAAATCGTGCTTTTTGCCTTTTGGTACGCTTTGTAGCGTGTTCTTCATAGCTGCACGTGATGTACCAGGTCAAAGGAACTGAGGCATATAGGCCTTTGGTAATGTGGTGGTGATGTGTGGGGGCGGGGAAGCGTGCTCCTGGCCTGTGATTAGGTCTCAGCCTTTTAGTGAGCTGATGTCCTGCCCTGGGAACTTGACATTTGTTTCTGGGGGGTTTGTTTTCTCCCCCCTGATGTGGGACAGGATGGTGCAGTGGGCCGGAATCGGGTATTTCCCTCCTCCAGGTCAGTGAGGCTCTAGCTAACTGGTCTGGCCAGTGACAGACCTTGTTAAGGAGAACTGAGTGCTCTGGCATATTTTTAAATGGTTCCTCTGGCTCCCAGAGGTAAATCTCAAAATACTGTGGGGGGGGGGCCCCCTAAGACTGAGTCCCCCTAGAGTTTTTAACTCTCCGGTTGTCTGCACTGAGCGGACAGTTAAGGTTTTCCTGGCCCCCAGCCTCTCCTCTGGTATGCCATGACTCCCTCTTTGCCTGTCTCTCCGTCTTGGGGACAGCAGTTTGCCCTGTGTCCTTCCCTCTGGTACGGATCTGAGAAGAGTTGCTCATTTTTCTCTCTGTTCAGCTTTTTACTTGTTCCTTCAGAGTGGGGACTTCAAACTCTGTACATGGAAATGGATTAAACAATCTTTATATTCCTGGGCTATATCTAACTTAGTTCAATAGTCTCTACCTATAAAACTTTCTGGATTTTGTGTTTTCTCTTGGGGACAGTTTTTAAGTATTATTTCAATTCTTTTTATTAGTTACAGGACTATTTGAACTATCTCTTTCTTTAGTCAGTTTTAGGAGGGATTTTTTTGTAATTTATCAATTCATCTAAATTTTCAGAATTATTTTCCTGGCTTTTTAATTTCTGTTGTATCTTCAGTTATAGGCACTTTTTTATTCATACCATTATTTGTTTAAACCCCTTTAATTTTTTCATTATGGCAGAACTCTATATTGTGACTCTTCAAAGAAACAACTTCTGACTTTGTTGATCCTCTCATATATGTTAACCTTCTTGTTTTCTGTTTCTACATTTTTCTCTCTTTATTATTTCCTTCTGTTTCCCTTGAGGTTGTTTTGTAGTCTTTTCCGAACTCCTTCAATTGTACACATTCAGCCTTGTTTTCATTAACATCCAACTTGGTCAGAGAACATAATGGGTGTTAGACCCGTTCTTTGCAATTTGTAGAAACTGGCTTTGTGGACTTGTACACGATAAATTTGTAAATGTTTCATGTGTGTTTCAAAAGAATATTACTCTAATTTTTAATGTAGACCATTAGATCAAGACTATAAATTGTGTTCAAATCATCTATATTATTTATTTGTGTGTGTGCCAGGTTGACTTACATAATAGTGAGAGCTGTGTTGAAATCTTCATTGTAGTGGTGGTTTGTCTGAGTCTCCTTGTAGTTCTATCAATTTCTTTTTCAGTGCATTTTGAGACTATTTTTATTGATATGATAAAACTGTTGTATCTTCCTGGAAAATTGAACTTATGTTACATTGTAATCCTCTTTACCCTTAATACTGCCTTTTAGCTTACTCTGTTTTGTCTGATATTAATATAGCTATGCCACCTTTCATTTGATTAGTATTTGCACGTTATTTTGCTTGAACTTTTCCTTGTCCTTATGCTTTAGGTGTGTCTTGGACAATCTCTTTTTTTTCTCCATTGGTGAATATAGTCTATTTAAATTTATTTTCATATGGCTATATTTGGACTTTCCAACCTTTTACTTCTAATTATCCTGTTTTAACTATGTTTCTTTCTTACTTTCTTGCCTTTTTTAGGATTAAGGTTTTTTTTGTTCTTTCTTAAAATTTTGGTTTTGCTTTTTCCTTTATTTTTTTTCTTTAGTGGTTTGGAATGTATACTATTTTACTGTTATTTTGTTTACGTCTGAAATTTTTCATCCTTATTTAATTTCAGAATGTCTTCTATGAATTTCAAATTGTGTGCCAAATTAGTATACTTATCATTAAAGAATAACTAATATTTTCCAAGACAACTATGCAAATATTAGGCTTTTTAATAAATATTTGTTTGCTGATTGGTGTTCTTCATATATATGTATATGTGTTCTACTTCAGTGAAAAGTTTACAATAAAAGAGTACACTTTTTCTTTCATACATAGAACCACTTTCACACACCTACCCAGTAATGCCTATTTTCCTATACTCTTGCCACTATGACAGACATAAAAATCTTTTTAATCTAATAGACATACAAAGAGATGGATTTGTTGTTTTATCCTAACCTGTAGTGAGGCTGAACACCTTTTTGTATATTTATTTACTTTTCATTTCTTCTGAAATTCCCCTGCTCATGTCCTTTGCCTGTTTTTCTGTTATAGTGCTCATTTTTCTTACTGATTTATAGACTTTTTAAATATTTTATATTTTTGGTCTCTTATGTGTCAAAATACAATGTTTTAAATAACAAATTAAAACTAACAAGCTTATTAAGTAATATCAAGTGTTAGGAAGAGTTTCCCCTAGTAATTAAATCAGCCTTAAAAAGAGCCCATTATGCCTCAGTCTCCAGTTCTGTCACCAACTGAATTCTTAGGAGAGTGAAAGTAAAAGCTGCCACTTTCACTCCGAGGTTCTACTCCAATATGGAGTCCATATAGAATATATTCTCTTGGAAGGTCCTTATTTTATTGCATGTATGAGAACATTTATTCTCTTTTTCTTGACTTGTCTCTTCTTTGCTGGGAACATCTTTAAACAGAATCTCCAAGCATATATTTATCCATTGCTTTTCTGTGTTACCCTTAGATTCTTTTGGTTTCTCTTTATGCCTTTACATTTTCTGATATGGAGAGAAGGAGAAATAACATTGAGTAGGACTTGTTTTATTTGTAGTAAATTGCACATGGATTTCGTCTGTACTGTGTTTTATAAAACAGCCCTGTGAAAACCAGTGGCCGCATGCCGTTTCCTTCACTCTCGCAACCAGCCCCAACTTCCTAAGTGATCTCTTCACTAAAACATTGTGTTTTAGTAACTCAACTAGTCTGATACAGTCTCACTGTTGTGTCTGCCTTTTTATGCTTTCGGTTGGGGGTGCCTTACTGAGATCATGTTTAGTTTCCTTATTTTCTAGACTTATTATATCTTAGCGTTCATCATTTTCATTCTGCAGTGGCCTGCGAATGTCCTTCACTGATATGTTTTTTCTTTTAATGTGCAATTCATAGACGCTCTGCTGTGGCCCGCATTCAGGAGTTCTTCAGGCGGAGAAAAGAAAGGAAAGAGATGGAAGAACTGGATACTTTGAACATTAGAAGGCCACTTGTAAAGATGGTTTATAAGGGCCATCGCAACTCCAGGACAATGGTACTCATTGGCATTTTTGGAGAAAGTGCAGTTTCATAATATGATTGTGTTTCCGTAATGACTATCTTCACATATTGCTAGTGTGATTCCAGTATACAGTAAAACCTCGGACTGCGAGTAACGTGGTTTGCGAGTGTTCCACAAGACAGTCAAACGTTTCTGATACATTTTAACTTGGTAAATGAGCTATGTCTTGCAATACGAGTAGTTTGTTTCTGGAACGAATTATGCTCGCAAACCAAAGTATTACTGTAACACCATTGCACCTTCACAGTTATCTCTTGGCCCAAATATGGTTCTTGTAGTCCTGTGGTACATCATGAAAGACCATTTTTTTTTTTACAAGAAAACTCTACCCTGTTGAGAAATTATTGCAGAATTTTGAATATTTTAGCTTGTACAAGTAACCATTGCTTCTTGTTTGCTCTCACACTTGCTGTCTACCTTCCTAGTAGATTGTTTTAGTTCATATTAGTACTCTTTGTTGGTTTGGGAGAGAAAGATTTGGATATATGAAATGCAGGATCATTGCAAAATAATAGTTACTTTAATTATAACCCTGTTAAGACTGACAAGTAAAGATTTGTTTTAGCCACTTTGTAGACTTTAATTTCCTCATCTACAAAATAAAAAGAATAGAGCAGATCATCTCTAAGATCTTTTCAAGTTTTTACAATCCACAAGTCTGTACACCCAACACAATATTATTTACTGAGAATCTTGCAAGATGAATAACATGTTATAAAACTGTTATTCTGAACCATTTATATCTAGAAAGTGTTGTTCCCATATATTCATTGGGTTATCAAAAATTATCAAATTGGTTTTAACCGGCTTTCTTCAATGTCTAGGCAAAATGTTACTTTATGCTAAGAAAATAATTAGCTCTCTGTAGAAATCATTGGTAGTAACAATTTAATCATTAAAAAATACTAGTATTAATAGAAGATACTAATTTACATGTCTTGTATTTTGCTTGTTAAAATTTTGGATAAAAATAATTCGGGGTTGGGATGAAAAACCGAAGATGAATAAATATAATAATAGCTCCAAGTAACAGCAAAACTGGCTTCCCTCTTTTGTTTTTCCAAAAATAGCAAAGTAGCAGCTGCAAATAAAATGTTTGAAAAAAATCCTGATCTGAAGTACAAAGATTTTCATGGTTCATTCATATACTTCCATTGAAAACTGGCATCATAACCATTCCAATATATCATATTCCTTGGTCTCATTGCTTCATAAAAGGAAATATGTTTTGTATCTTTCCTTCTCAATTGTGAGAGTTTGAAATAGCTAATAAAAAGATTGATACTTTTTGTTAATACTTTTTGTCCAAAACGCAGTTATCCCATTCTCATTTAGGGGTTATCAATTCAGCACCTACTGTGTACCAGGTACTGTTTCAGGTACTATAAATACATCATTGAACAAAACAAAAGCCCTATCCTCACTGAGGACTTTTCATTACTGACAGCTGTATCCCCCTGCTAATAAATCCCTGTCATGATTTGAAGATACCAGAAGGCAAAGACTCTTCCATTTTTATTTTATTTTCTAAGTCAATTAATTTTTTAACTTGAGAATAAAGGAAGTCTTTTTAATAACTTTGATTTGAATTTTCTTATAATTTCCTTTTTTTTAAATCCTTAGATAAAAGAAGCCAATTTCTGGGGTGCTAACTTTGTGATGAGTGGTTCTGACTGTGGCCATATCTTTATCTGGGATCGTCACACCGCTGAGCATTTAATGCTTCTGGAAGCTGACAATCACGTGGTGAACTGCCTGCAGCCACATCCGTTTGACCCAAGTAAGAGGACCTTGTATAAGGCAAGGGCTAGAAATCGTTTGTGTGACTCATCAGCTCCAGTTGTTTCCTACTTGTTCAATAAGAATAATCCAAATTATCCCAGTAGGCAGCCCCTGGAGTCAGTTACAGCTCCACCTGGGTTTAAAACAAAGAACACTTGTAACCTGCTTTTGGCAGAAAGTGTGGGGAAACAGGTGAAAGAGTGTGTTGTCCTGGTATTTCTTCTAAGTGGTGTGAGCTGTAAGAGGTTTGGCTGACCGAGCGTCGCACTGCGTACCCAGGTGGGACCTCCAGAGGTGCCCTGGCTGGTGCTTGCCTTCCATTTCAAATTGTCCGTGTTTCTCATAAAGGAGCATTAAATACAGAAGAAACTTGAGTTATACAAGATGGTCTCAACGTTGTATTCTAGGGTCACTTTTAGGAAATCTTTAAGATAGTATTCTCAGATAACACGTAAATGTATCAATACAATTTCCATTCCATTCCTTTGCTCTACGTGTACACACAGTAGGTCCTCAATGTCATTGATAGGTTCTGCAACTTTAAGTGGAACGACCTATAACAAAACCAGTCTGACCACAGGCTGACTGTTATACACAAGAGTTAGGGTACTAGGGCATCTCATCATCGTTACAATGACACGATACTGAACAAAACGACATTATTTGAGGACCTGCTGTATATGCATACATACATGCATATATACATATACACACGTGTGTGTATAACATGTCTTGAATAAATAGCATGTGTTCTAAGTTTATGTTAATACGTATATTTTATTTCTAGTTCTAGCCTCGTCTGGCATAGATTATGACATAAAGATCTGGTCGCCACTAGAAGAATCAAGGATTTTTAACCGAAAACTTGCTGATGAGGTAAGATTTTTATTATACTTATTGTAGACCATATTTCACTTTGTTCCTGAAATATTTTCTTAAGAAGAATCAAAGCAGCTCATTATTAGTTGGTAACATTCAACAAGTTAATGCAGTTAAGGAGTTCAACTTTAAGCAAAAGGAAAATTAAAAATTAAGATAAAAACATGTCTATAATAGGTGAGAAGTAAAAGTTGAGCTAGTATTTTGCTAATTAGAACATTGAGTATTAGTAATATCAGATTAAGTGCTTTGTAGTTTAACAAAAGTGGTTAACTGTGTTTATTGTAATAAAGAATCATTAAAGAAAACCCTTTTAAGAAAATAGTTTTTATTATGCTAAGTGAAATAAATCAGACTGAGAAAGACAAATACTATATGATTTAAAAGAACAAACAAAACAGAAACAGACTCATAGATACAGAGAACACACACTGATGGTTACTATTGTAGATGGGGGCTGGGTGAGAAAGGTGAAGGGTTTAAGTACAGATTGTTAAAAAAACAGCCACGGGGATGTGCAGTACAGTACGGGAGATATAGTCAATCATATTGTAATAAGTATGTATGGTGTCAGGTGGGTACTAGACTTATCAGGGTGATCAAATAAATTACATATATGTCTAACCACTATGCTATACACATGAAACTAATATAAAATAATATTGAATGTCAACTATAATTTTTAAAAGTCACGGGGATATACAGTACAGCATAGGGAATATAGTATTGGAATAACTGTACAGTGTTGGATGGGTAATAGACTTACTATCACTTTGTGAGATACAGAAATATCTAATCGCTATGCTGTTTTGTACACCTGAAACTAGTAAAAAATAGGTTTACTGGAGCTGTCTTCCATAAGCATAGCCAAGTAGGTAGCAGAACAAATGGCTAGAGAATCTTTTCCTTTTATTATATTTTAATATTTCCTCAGCTTCTTGTAAAATCAGTAGTTTTCAAACTGAGTTCTGTGAAGTTCTAGGTTTTTTATGGAATTGGGATAGGAAAGCTGACCTCTGTGCCTTTCCTCCCCAACTTCAACCAGGGTTTTTACTTGTAGATTTTGGTAGATTTCTATGATAAGAAGGGCCGGTCGTGTTCATCAGCTCCTAATAGCTGAGCTGCTGTGGGGAGGTGAGTGCAGCTTGGCTGGTGCTGTGCCTTGTAGGAAAAACTGTGAATAAGGAAGGGTCCATTGCTAAGAGGGAAGACCAGTACATTAGGGCCATGTTGCCACGTGACAGACAGTTCCCCGTATACTTTCACTCACTTAATAGACCTTTATCCAACACTTGGTATGTCAGTGACAGTGCTGAGGTTAAAAGGTAAGCGCTGCCCTCAGAGCTTGTGGACTCGTGGGTAAGACAAACATTAAGCAGACAGCTGGAATAGTGTCGTCGGTGCCAGGGAGGCACTCGGTGCTTGGGAGCCTGTAGGAAGAGTGCTGTGCTTGTAAATGGAGTGGATGGGATGGGGACGTCTGCACAGAGGAAATAGGGTTCACCAGGCAGACGAGGAGCAAAGCAGCACTTGAGGCAGAAGGATCAGCATGTTCCGAGTTGTTAGAAGGTAGAGAGCCATCAGTGTGTGGAAACCTACAGGGCACGTGAGAAAGTCGCTCAGTTGGACTGAAAGGCTGCTTTGGGGCAGGACTGCACAGGGTCCTGGGGCACCCTAGTGAGCTGCGCAGGGTCCTGGGGCACCCTAGTGAG